CGAGATATGCAAAAAGTCTGATTAAAAATAATTTTTTTATAAAAAATAATTTTAGGAAGAAAATAATTTATTACCAGATGAACTTATACCAGAAGTATTAAAACAAGCAAGATTAACACTTTATACATTAAATGCCCAATGTATAGCTACACAATTAACATTACAGGTTTTGAAAGGATTTTTAAAGAATTTTTAAATGTTTTCTAAGGATTTTGGTGTTTTCTCTTCTATAGAGCCAACAGAATATGTAAATCATTTATTCCAATTAGGAGTTAATGGAGAAAATAAATCTTCGAAACAGCGTGGAAAGGGTTGGGATAAATTGGCTGAATTTGAGGTAGAAATTTTTTTTATAAAATTATTAGTCAAATTTTTTTTAAATCTGGGTCCAAACATAATTTAAAATAAAGTCCTAGTTCACATTTTCTGAAAAATTCCAATGATTTTGAAGGAAGACAAGCTTCCTTGTTTTCTCATTGTCAATTTTAAAATATTAATATGTATAAATAATTAAAGAAAAATCTTTTTCAGTCTCTTTTCAATCGAGAAATGTGGTGGGTAGCGACAGAAGTTTGTTGTGAACGTAATGTTTATAGAAGATCTAAATTAGTTAAGAAATTTATTAAAGTTGCCAGACATTGTCATTGTATGTTTAAAAATTATTCATTTAATTTTAATTATTTTTTAAAGTACTTCGTAATTTAAATTCAATGTTTGCAATTGTTAGTGGTTTAGAAAAGCCAGCAGTTCGTAGACTTTCTCATACGTGGGAAAGAGTTCCTGGGTATTTAATTAATTTAATATATTTGTATATTTTTACTTTCTTAGAAAATATTTAAAAATGTTGGCTGATCTTCAACAATTAATGGACCCATCTAGAAATATGTCTCGTTATCGACAACATTTAGCTCAATTAGCACAAGAGCCTCCTTTAATTCCAATTTACCCAATACTTCGAAAAGACCTTACATTTGCACATGAAGCTAATCCGACCTTTTGTGGAACTCGTCTTGTTAATTTTGAAAAACTTAGAATGATAGCCCAAATAATTAGAAATATTCAACGATTTAGTAGTGTACATTATGACCCTTCAGAGTTATATATTGGAAGTAATGGTGTAAGTGGTGGTGGTGGGACAGCTGAAGTTGTGAGTTTTTACAAAATTGACAGATACTTTAATTTAATCTTTTTGCAAAATTGGCAGATATTTTAATTTAATCTTTCGGGTTCGACTTGAGATTAGTTATAGACCTTTGAGTATATTATATCGTAACCTAAAAAAATCTGAAAATTGAAAAATCTTTGCCCTCGTATTTTATAAAATTGACAGCTAATCTGTGTGATCACTTTAATCTTTATTTCCTTTTAGATGTTCCATCATGATGCACTCGACCCCGTTAGTGCCACAATTCGTAAAGCAACTAAAGCTGGAATTGGTAATCGTTTTGGCACAAGTAGTAGCAGTAATGGTGCTGGCCTTTCACGGAAGAAACTTTACGAGAGAACTTTAATGTTAAGGAGGGTACGAGCATATTTGCGCTCAATGCCGCTTATTGACTCAGAGGTGAATTTTCAAAATAATACATATTTAGAGGGGAGCCCTTCCATTGGAAACCTATTTTAGTAAATTCCTTAAGGATAATTCTTAGGATCACTGAAATCCTAAATTCTTTTATCTTAAATTCATGTTAAATTAAAATATCTGACAACAATTAAAGGCTAATTTGGATCGAATTTCTTTGGAAATTGAACCTCCAGCTCTCACTTCCGGTCAAAGCAGTTCTGTCCAACAATTACATCATTCTTCATGTTCTCCCCATTCCCAACACCAAACACAACCAAGTAGCTCGTCTGCAAGTACTGCACGGAGAAGACTTCCCTCTCCATCACCTAGCAGTCTTTCATCTCAATCAAATCAATCAAGTTCTATATTCCATCAACAGGAAAAACAAAGACAATCAATGGCTGGGGGGATAATTGGTGGTGGTGGTGGTGGTAATGGATTGCCTAAATTTGGTAAAATAATTTTACTTTTTTAAAGCTTTTATCGTTGTAATTATTAATTTTATTTTAAAATTCTATAGGCGTTGAATCTCCTCAGGCCGTCCAGAAAATGTTGGCCTTAGTTCAAAATTCAAAAATAAAAAGCCGACAACCCTTTTTTACTTCTTTTCATCAAAGCTCAGGGCGTTCACATTTGCTTCAATCACACGGTGCTTTGTCTGCTTCTGCCGAATTGCCTCCAATTGGTAAAAATATTAAATGTCATATAATTTAAATTCCTTTCTTATTTTAAGGTGTAGATAATCACCATTTACATATACAACAAAGAAAAAGATGTTCTGTTACAAGTAGCAGCACAACAACTGATGAAAATGTTAGTTGTAGTGGAAATAATGAAAGAGCTGTTTAAAGGAAAATCTTGCCAGGAAAAGCAGAATTACCTGCATTTCTTCTAATTTTACTTAAAAATATATTTATATTTACTAAAAAGCAATATAATCTTTTCTTAAAATTTACCTAAAAATGCCTTTCTTTTTCCCCAATTAAATATTTTGCTCATTTCCCAGCTCTTTTTAAATTTTTGTAAATAATATTCAAATTTTAAATTTCTATATTTGTATTAAAATCTCCGTTCCTCATTTATCTTTTCATGTAGTATATTGAAATAAATATCTTGAATTTTAGTAGATTGTTTTTTAGACGAATAAAATTTGAACTATTTTGTAAAACGTTGTCTTTAGTTCCGGGATTTTTTTGGTTTGCTTTTAAAGTCTGCACAAGTTTTGCTTCTAAATAAGGAATTTTTGTTGAAAATAAAAGCCAAGAATTTCAGTTGTAAAGACTGAATTTCTAAATTGTACTACATACCACTCTTCCAATTCGATAAAATTGGAAGAGTAGTAGTACATGGTGGAATTTTTTTAAATTTTTCTAAGGGACCAAACTTTCTCAAGGCAACTTTTTTTTCAATTCTGGCATCTTTAACGAAATAAATAAATTTAAAAGGATTAATGTCTATTCAAAAAATTCACAGAATGGAGGGGGATTTTATTTAGGGCATTTTTTAGTGTATAAATTAAGAAAATTGAGAAGTAAAAATCATTCCTGAATTATGGAATATTTTTTATTTTCAAATTAGAAAGGAATTGTACAGCTATTTATTGTGGGGGGACATTTATTAATTTGTGATAATTTTGATAATAATTTTTGACTTGTCTTAAAAACACCAATTCTCTTGTTGAATTAGTTAGGAGATCGTTTTTTTCAAATGGAAGTTGCAATTTATTTTTCGATCATTTATTACATTTTGTTTTGTTAATTTTTATATTTTTGTTATAATTCTAACAAATATTTTTTTCAATTAAATTAACCAAAAAATATGTCATAAATTTTCATTTTCTTTAAATTAATTTTTAAGAAGGACAATTTTTGACTTGTCTTAAAAACACCAAATTTTTCGACCTAAAAATGGATGCAGCAAATCATTCTTTGTCTAACGACATAAAACCCCCCAAACTTCTTTAATTTTAAATACAAATCAATTGGACGAATTAACAAATCAATTAAAAATTTTAAGTATTGATGATTTGTCCATAAATAAAATTGTAGAAAATTTAAAAACAATTAAAACGGAGGTGATTTCTGACAAATTCTTTTATTTTTAAATTCCCAAAAATCTTTTTTTGTTTAGCCACATATAATTGATGAACTCCAAAATTTTATTCAAAAAAATGGATTGTTTGGTTTCGTGTTAAATCAAATGACCAATTGTTGTACTTTTGACTCCAAAAATTTAAATATGTGGGTAAAAAAAATCTAAAATTTAAGTCAACATTTACTTTAATAGTCAATATCTAAAATTATTAAAAAGACCACGATCAAGAGCATTATTTTTAAATACATTTTTAAGCAAAAATCTCCCTTTCTTTCCATGATTATTTCTAATATTTTAATATTTTTTTGTCAATTATTTTTTAGAAATTCCACTTACTTTGCTGGATTTGAACTTTATTTTGCATCTAATTTATTTGTAAGTTCAATCAAAACTTCAAATTTATATTTTTTGGAATTTTATCAATTCCAAATATTAACTTTTTAAAATTTTATATCAAAAATTTTTCATGAAACTTGTTAATTAAATTAATTTTAGAATAAAGTTTCTCATGTTGATAAAATTTCTAAACACATTGTTGAAATCAACAAGCTCATCAAAATTTGCAAAAAAATGCAATTGGGAGCTACTGAACAACTTTTAAATGATTTACTTGTGGAAGCCGACCGTTTGAATAATCAAAAAATTCAATTATTTTATATACATCAACGACTTATTACTAATAATGGGATTAAAATTAAACAACTCGAACAAAGAAGTGCAGGTATTCTTTGTTCTCGAAATAAAAATATGTTTATAATTTGTAGCAAAATGATGTTTAAACAAGCTGGAACGAACCATGATGTTAACTGGAATGAATTTAAATTTTATATTAACTTAAGAATTAAACAATTTAATTTTTCAAAGGACAATTGCTTAACGTTTTAATTTTTTTAAATAAATTTCGAATTTTCACTTTTTTATGATTTTACGTTGCCGTCGACGCAATCTTCGTCGCATAATTAGGAAAAAGCTTTAGTCCACTTTTGCTTCTATTGAATTTTTTCCTATACTTGTCATCTCATTCATGGTTAAGGTGTAGTGTTCTTTAGTTAGAAGTTTTCTCTGATTCGAAAACTCATCAAGTTCGATTGGACTCATAAACTGTAACAGCGCCCTCTTTTCCACGTTCTCTTTCCATTTTGATATACGGTGCTTCGCGTCGAACCGACCGATTTTATTTGTTGTTGAAATGTCTAATTATTGAAAAGTCAAAACATCTAAAAGTAAAATGCCGATACCTAAACGATACAGATCAATTTTTAGTAGAAAATTATTTTAGGCATTTCTTTGGTTTTATTATTACTAACATAAATATTTTAATTTAGTTTTTTATAGTACAAAAATGGAATCTTCTGTAAATGAACATGTTACTGGAACTTCAGAAATGTCAGAATCACTACAACAACAAATTCAAAGTTCAAAGATTTCTCCAGAACAGATGCGTCAATTAAATGCACAAATAGCAGCTTACAAGATGCTAGCCAGAAATGAACCATTACCCAGACAATTATTGAACCAAGCGAATGACAGAAAGAATGATTCAAATGCTCTTCCGCTTCCATATGAATATCCTTATGAACTTCCGAATGGCGAAAAGCTTCCTTATGATTTAAGCAAAATATTAGCCATCCACCAACAACGAACCACAAATCGAACAACTACATTACCTTTACCACAAGGGATTGATCCAGAAATTATTTGGCGTGAACGCGAAAATAGGTTATTATTTATTTAATTTTTCTGATTTTCTTTTAGAATTCAAAATCGAATTGCTCTTCGAATAAAAGAATTGACTGAATTAACAATGGATATGCCACCACATTTAAGAATGAATGCTGAAATTGAACTTCGTGCTTTGCGTCTAGTAAATTTACAAACTCAAGTTAGTTTTCAACGCCATATTTTTTTTTCATTCACAAATTTTCCTCAGGTTCGCAGTGAAGTTCTCAGTTATTTAAAACGTGATACTTATCTGGAAACGGCACTTAATCCATATGCTTATCGTCGAACTAAAAGACATACCCTTAGAGAGGCTCGTGTTACTGAAAAGTTGGAAAAACAACAAAAGGTTGAACAAGAACGGCGCCGTAGACAAAAACATTCGGAACTGCTTCAAGTAATTTTTTTGAAATTTTCTATTGACTATATTATTTTTATAAAGGCGATAGTGCAAGTCAGCAAAGAATTTAAAGATTTTCATCGAAATGCACAGGCAAAGACGACAAAAGTTCGAAAACATATGCAGAATTGGCATGCAAACAGCGAAAAAGAACGTAAAAAGGATGAGCTACGAAATGAAAAGATGCGTATGCAAAAATTGATGGAAGAAGACGATGTTGGTTATCGACAATTGTTAGACGAAAAGAAGGATAAGAGGCTTGTGTATTTGTTGGCCCAGGTGATTTATTAATTTTTTTTTGAAAATATTTTGTTTACAAGACTGACGAATATGTCGAAAATTTAACTGGACTTGTAAAGCAACATCAAGTTACTGAAAAGAAACGAAAACGTGATGAACGTAGTGAAGCAAAAAAGGCACTTAAACAGCAGCAAGGTTGATTTAAATATTTTTTAGAAAATATTTTTTTTAATTTAAAAGGTAATAATGAAAGTGATGAGCTTCCAGTAATTATTCGAAACGGGGCGACAGGTGAAATTTTGAGAGGTGATGCTGTACCTAAACCAGATGAGGTGGAGGAATGGCTTGCGTCCCATCCTGGTTATGAATTAATCTCTAGAGATATTGCTTCTGATTCTGAAGATGAGGGGGAAGAAGCTGTAGAAACAACTAAAAATGAGCAAAAGGAAGACGATTGTGAAGGTTATTTTACCTGGAATTAACGGGCTAAGCGAACATATTTTTAGATCTGTTACCAGGCCCGTAACCAGGGGATAAGGGGGGAAGGCCTGTCTGATACCTTAATATATATTATTGAGCATTTAATTTTGAGCTTTTCTTTTAGGTCTCGATGACGAACAAAGAAGTCGACGAATCTTGGAAAAGGCACGTAATGAGGAAGATGAATATGATTCGAAAAATCAACGTCAACAAATGGAATCATATTATGCCACTGCACATCGGATTAAAGAAAAAATAGTGAAACAACATAGCACACTTGGAGCTTCTGATCCGAACTTACAATTGAAACCATATCAAGTTAATTTGGCGTAGTGACAGAAGACCCACAGACAGAAGACCCAAGGACAGAAGACCCACAGACAAAAGACCCACAGACAGAAGACCCACAAGGACATAATACCCACAGACAAAAGACCCACAAGAAAAATTTTTAACCAAAACTTGAGAAGAGATTTTCTGAAATTTTTGAAAAAGGCTTGTCTATTTTTCTAGGCACAAGGTTAAAAAAAATATTTTTAAAATATAAAAAAAAATTTATTCCAAAGTTAATAAATAAAATTTGATTAATGAAAAAGTGGATTGAAGAGTGGGTGATTAATTGGGATATGTTGGTTTAGCATGGGATTTGGAGAATATAGGGGTAAAACCAAAATCTCAGATCCACCGATGTCTATTCTTATCCTTAAATTGTTTATAACAGGAACCGGGAGAAGTAATACTCCGATATCTCTCTCAAACAGAAAATCGGATATGTCAGGGGATTTAAAGGGGAGTAAACGGATTTAAACCTTTTAATCTTTTATAATTCTACTAATCCGCTTTTATCAACCGATATCCCTCCATCTTACTCAGAAATAATTACCTAATCTCTGCTAATACCAATGATCCACGACATCCCTCATGTGGACTTAACTGACTCTCGCTATGATCCAGTTAATCTTAAATACCCCTTGATACTAAATGTCCCTTTGATCTATGTCTTTGAATTTTGAAAGGCCAGTTAGCTATTTTTCTACATACCATTTTTATATCTGAACCTAATCGGATTATGTTTTTTGACACGACCTGGACAATATTAAAAATCACGAAAATCCGGGAAATCAAGATGCCCCTTCGTTAAACAAGCTCCCCGGTCATTGGGACAAGATTCCCAACGTTGGAACAACCTCGCCCGTTTTTGCAACAACATCCCCATTGTTAAAATAACATCCCCGTTGTTGGAACAACGTCAACGTCCAGATTATTGAAACGACCTTCGCTAATATCGAAACAGCTTTTCCCGTTGTTGGATCAACCTCTTAGCGTGGAAAACTAATAAAATTAACAAATCCCTCGCGCTAAAATTTATGCACAATAAAACTGAAAAATAGTTGTGGGTCTTTTGTCTGTGGGTATTCTGTCCTTGTGGGTCTTCTGTCTGTGGGTCTTCTGTCCGTGGGTCTTCTGTCTGTGGGTCTTCTGCGTCGACCCGATTTAATTTTATTAAAGAATTTGTTTTATAATTTTTTTTAGATAAAAGGTCTTGAATGGCTTGTATCTTTGTACAATAATAATTTAAGTGGAATTTTGGCAGATGAAATGGGTCTTGGGAAAACAATCCAAACGGTTATTTTTATTTTTAATATTTTTATAAAACTTTTGTAGGTTGCTTTAATAACTTACTTGATGGAAGTTAAAAAAGTTAATGGGCCATATTTAATAATTGTCCCTCTCTCAACTATTTCAAATTGGAAAATTGAATTGGATAAATGGTCTCCGCATGTTGTGAAAATTATTTATAAAGGAGATAAAGACCAACGAAAGAGATTGGAACCGTAAGTTTTTTTACAAGAGATTTTTTGAGAATTAATAATTTGTTTTATTTTAAGAATTGTCCGTAAAGGAGCATTTAATGTTTTGTTGACTACATACGATTATGTTCTTAAAGAAAGATCTTTGTTAGGAAAGGTTTAATTTTTTATAAATTTAATTCAAAAATTATTTAAAAATTTTAGATTCGCTGGAAATATATGATAATTGACGAGGGGCATCGAATGAAAAATCATAATTGCAAACTCACCTTAACTTTGAATGCTTATTTTTCGGTACAACATCGTCTTTTGTTAACTGGAACACCTCTTCAAAATAAATTGCCAGAACTTTGGGCTTTGTTAAATTTTTTGCTTCCAAATATCTTCAAGTCTTGCGGGACTTTTGAACAATGGTTTGTTTTTTAAAGGAAATTTACAACATGAATTAAAAATAAATAGGCTTCCCGGTCGATGCACCAAAAAATTGACACGAGAAGTCAGACCAAATTTATTTTTAAATTTTTGATTAAAGGACGCCTATTTGTAAATTCTCAGACGAACAGATGCGTAATAAAAATAATTTTAGATTTAAGAACAAAGAATAGAATTTTTAGAGAAGATTGACTTAAGAAAAATAAATACATAAACCTTAAAGATTAAATTTTAATTTTCACTTTTTGTGACACAAAATTCTTTAATAGGTTTAATGCGCCTTTTGCCTCTACCGGCGAAAAATTGGAATTAAATCAAGAAGAAACAATGATCATTATTCGTCGTCTTCACAAAGTTTTGCGTCCATTCCTCTTGCGTCGTTTGAAGAAAGAAGTAGAGTCACAATTGCCTGAAAAGACAGAATATGTAATTAAATGCGATATGAGTGCACTTCAACGAGTTGTTTACAAGCATTTGCAAAAGGGTCTTCTAATTGATTCGAAACATGTGGTAGAATTTTCTTTTTAATTTTGGAGCATTTTTGACTTTTAGACATAAATTTATAATTACTTGAAAATAATCTCTTGAAGCTTAACCGACAATTTTTCCGTTCCTTTTTAAATTCCTCATTTAATTTAAGCAAGGTGGACGTGCTTTAATGAATACTGTTATACATTTACGTAAACTTTGTAACCATCCTTTCCTCTTCCACAGTGTTGAAGATGAATGCCAAAGTTTTTGGAAGGTTAAAGAAGTTAGCGGGTATTTAATTATTTAAATTTTAATTTTTTAACAACTTCCTTTTTAGGAAAGATCTTTATCGAGTATCAGGCAAATTTGAATTACTTGACCGTATTTTGCCAAAATTGAAAGCAACTGGCCATCGTGTATTAATTTTCTGTCAAATGACACAATTAATGAATATAATGGAAGATTATTTTAAAGTATAACTTTTTTGGATTTAAAAAATAATTTTTTATTTTTTTAGTATCGTTATTGGAAATATTTACGTCTGGATGGAAGTACAAAACACGAAGATCGTGGAAATCTTCTTAAGGAATTTAATACTCCTGGTTCAGAATATTTTCTTTTTATGTTGAGTACTCGAGCTGGTGGTTTGGGTTTAAATTTACAGTCTGCTGATACTGTTATTTTGTTCGATTCTGATTGGAATCCTCACCAGGTCTATTTAAATTGAAGATTTTAACAAATATTAATTTTAGGATATGCAAGCACAGGATAGAGCTCATAGAATTGGTCAAACTCGTGAGGTTAATATTTAATATTTTTCTTATTGGTGCGGGTTTGGGTTCAGAATAATTTTACGGGCTTTTTGAACTAATTTCTGTCTTGGAAAAATTTTTCAAATCAGCAATGTATTCCCTAAACTCCTCTAAATTCTAATTTTATATAATATTTAATTTTAGGTGCGCGTTCTTCGTCTAATTACTGCTAATAGTGTAGAGGAAAAGATTCTTGCCGCAGCTCGTTTCAAATTGAACGTTGATGAGAAAGTTATTCAAGCAGGAAAATTTGATCAACGTTCCACTGGCGCAGAACGTCAAAAAATATTGGAAGAAATTATTCAAGCAGAAAATGATGATAACGATGAAGATGAAGTTCCGGATGATGAAGTTATTAATCAAATGATTGCGCGTAGTGAACAAGAATTTGACACATTTCAACAAATGGATATTGATCGTCGACGTGCTGAAGCAATGGAATGTCGTCGAAAACCTCGACTTATAGAAGAAAATGAAATTCCTACTTCTATTATTGAACAACATCGTAAATTTACTGAAAATGAAGATAAGGAAAAGGAGGGTAAAGAAAAGCAAACACAAGCTCTAGAATTCTCAGAAACTGGACGTCGAAAGAGGAAAGATGTTAATTACTCACAGGCAAGGAAAAAAATATTTGTTTAAAATTAGTTTAAATTATTTTTAAGGATTTGATGACTGATAAAGAGTGGCTTAGTCAAATGGGTGAAAGATGGGAGGATACAGAAGACGATGAAGATATTTCTGAATTAATCCCAGGAAAGAAGAAAAAAGGAGCGGGACGCAAGAAGGATGGGACTCCTGAATCGGGGGAGCCGGCAAAACGTGGTCGTAAACGCAAGAAGGCGATGGACGAAGAAGTATTAATTGTTTATTTTTTACTTTTTATTCTAATAATAAATATTTTTCAGAGTGGGGCTGGTTCCGGCGATGATAGCAATGCAGGAACACCCGTTCCTGGTAGACGAGGTGTTGCAGCGAAACGTGCAAAAGGTGCAAAGATGCCACCCTCAAATCCCAAATTTACTGAGAAACTGCTTACTTGTTTGGATACATTAATAAATTATAAGGACAGGTTAATTTAGTTTTTGTATGTTTTAATTTTTTATTTTAAAAATTAAAGTAGAGGCAGAGAGTTATCTGGTCCATTTATTCAATTACCATCTCGTCGTGAATACCCAGACTATTATGAACAGATTGAACATCCAATGGATTTGAATCGAATTAGAAGAAAAATTAATGATGACAAATATACTTTATTAGAGCAAATGACTTCTGATGTTAATTTACTTTGTGATAATGCCCAGGTATTTTTTGAGATTATTTAAAATTAATTTTTTTTAATTTATTTAGCGCTTCAATATTGAAGGTTCAGACATTCATGAAGACTCAAAATTGCTTAACATTGTTTGGCATCGAATAGTGGAGGCAGTAAGTTTACAAGAACAGCAACAACAAAAACAACGACAAGCTGCAACAACAACAAACACAATAATTCCTATAAAACAACAAGAATCACAACCTTCAACAAGTAATGATACTCCACCTGTTCTTCAACCAATGACTGGTTCTATGGAAATAATAAATGATGAGCAAGCATCAAATTCTGCTTCTACAAATGAGACATTGACAAATCAAGAGAAAAAATGTGAATAAGAAAAGGGGGTAGGATTTGAAGGAAAAAATTTTTAAATAAAAATTAAACGTTTTTAAGTTAAATTTGACTTATTTTTTTGATGTTTTAAGTATATATAAGTAACTCTTTCTTTAAAAATGTAAAGATTATCCCATTCTTTTTTAAATATTATTCTTTAATTTTTCATTAGTAAAATTATCAATTAAAATCAATTAAATATTCGATATTCGTGTTTATAAGCAGTTTGTCAGTTTAGAGAATTTTCTATTGGAAATTTAAAATTTATTTTCTCACCTGTTTTTTAGCCAACGCGCTTACTAAAACTCTTTCAAAAGAATTGTTAATGCCTCTTTAACTATAGAGGATGATTATAACTTAAACCTTCCAATTTTTACTATCCAAAGTTGCTTCTTTTTAAATTTATAAATTAATAAAATTTATTTTTATTAATACATTCGAATCTTGATTAAACGTCTCGTTCGGGATTGAATTGTGCAGAATTGTGGGTTGAATGTGTAGAGAATTGCTATTGTAAAGCATATAGTAGCTATTTAATTCCTAAGGCAGTAGGTAGGTGGCGTGGATAACACATCGGTCTACTGAAGATGCTGATTTGCTCCAAACCGCCGAATAACCTTTTGCATTAGCTGTTCATAAAATTAATAAATTAATTTAATAAAGATCAAAATTTATAAATAATGTATTATTCGAAATTATTTTTCGTCACTATGTTAATTATTTTATTTACCCCTTCAACTGATGCTTTTTTCTCAGCATTTTTCCAAAAAATCAAAAACAATATTTTAGGAGGAGAAAATGAGATTTGTAAGTTAATTAGAAAATAAATTTTTTAAAATTTTTTAAATTTAATAAAAAGCTGGGAATAATGTTGACAACAACCATCAAAACAATTTAGAGCCTTTTTCAAATATTAATGATAATCCAAATTTGTTTAATGAAAAGAATGAAAATTTTGTTACAGAAAAAATGGGAGAAAATAAGGGAGAAGATGAACAGAAGCATTTATTGGGAGGTTATTATGATCAAAAATATCAACATTTTGGGTTTGGTGGGCCTAAAAAGGAAGAGAATATTGTTAAAGAAAATGAGAAGTTGAATGATAAACAAACAGAGATTGAAGAAATTGAAAAAGTAGAGGAAGGGAATGAAGAAGAGAATGGTTTGGGGTTTTCTATAGAAAATTCTGAAAATATTTTTTTTAGAAGAGGATCGTTTATTTGCTCGAATTGCCAATTGGTTTAAACAAAATGCTGCAGAAATTTTATATAAAGGAAAGAATTTCTTTAAAAAAGGTAAAAAATCAGAAAATGTGAGTGAAGAAACAAGTGAAAAATAATTGAAAATTTTGAAGCTTTTGGGAAAGATTTTTAACATTTTTTAAATGAGCGCTTCCATACTTTTTTCCACGACTGTAACTAAATATAATAAAATTTAAGGTGGTTAAAGAAATAAATATTAATTGAATTTAATGAAATGGTTATAGATTTTTAACATTTAAATGGTACTATATGAATAATTAGAGTCCTTTATAGTTTTTATTAAAATATTTTATAATTTGTGAGCTATATGTGGAAGTTCTTACCAAAATCGGTATTTGTACCTGTGTTACAAAAGTACGAGATAAATTAAGGAGTAAATATGTACGAAGTAGGAATAAATTTTAAATTTCCAAACACTTTTTTTGTTATTTTTCCTTTAATTTTGTAAATTAAATCTTTTTTTTTTGTTAAATCAATTTATTAAAAATATCTACCAAATTTATAGAGAATTTATGTTTTAATTATTTTAAAACATTTTTTATGTCAAAAACTCCTTCATATTTAATCCTTCTTTGATGACAAATTACAGTCACACTGTCCGGCACATTCTTTTTTAGCTTTTTCTTTATCTTTTTCATTCTTTTCTTGCTTAATTTAAATAAAAATTAAATTTAAAAAATAAAATAATTTTTACATTAACACAATTAATATAACAGTCTTGACCCTAAAAAACTAATTTTTAATTTAAATAAATAAAAAAATAACCGAGCAGCTAAAACGTTTAACTATACGGTGTGGTTTGTCTTGTTGTTGTCCAGTAATTAATAACATCTTAAATTATTATTTTTAAATTTATTTAATATCAAAGTCTCTCTTCAATTCTATATTTTCTTATTTTCTTTATAATATTTTATTGAGAAATAGAAATAAAGCTGGGCTGGGCTTAGGCGGCTAGAAGCTAACCAGCAGCTTCAATTGACCTGACTAATTCATATAAAATTTATTTTGGTGTTATTTTTTATCCGCCTCATGAAATTTAATATGCCTTACAAGAAATTGCTCGACAAAATTAACCCAATTTAATGCAATCTCTAATCTAAATAGATGATTATGAAATATCGTGTATATATCCACCAATCACCAAATCTCTATTTAGAATTTCCTCCCAAATATAAAACCTTTCATTTGAGATCGAGAAGTAAATCTTTTTATTTTTGTAATTCCAATAGGTACTTTAAGAGTCAATTAATTACCTGTAATCCAGGCTGTGAGAGATGTGTTGGATGTGCAACAACAATTGTAGCATCATCCTAATTATTTTAAATTTAATTTAAATATTTTATTAATTTACTTTAAAAGACAAAACCACAAAAAATATAAAAATTGAAATTGGGAAATATTTTAGAAAAAACATTTTTTGAAATTAATTTTTGTTTATTAAAATTTAGGAAAATGAAAATAAAGATCTTAATGAGAAAATTATTTAAAAAACAGTTGTCTTTTTAAAAAAGATTTTTCGAATATCAAATGACGATAATCCTCAATAAATTAATTAATTAAAAGAAAAAGAAAATATTTTTGATATTTTTGTTAAAAAATTAAAGATTTAACTAATTTACGACTTAAAAAATTAAAACAAGTCTGAAACGTTTATTTATAGTTAAAAATTGATATGATATATCAATTTGATGAAAATAATTCTAAACAAAATTAAAGAAAAATTTATATTAAATGTGAGTCTTGTTACTCACTACATGTCCTTATAAATCTCAAGCTTCTTGATCTCTCTCAAGCTTTTTGTAAATATTTTTTATTAAACGTAGCCTTTCCCTTGTTAAATGATCCCTATTTAATGTTAGATAAAAAAATAATTTTTAATTGTTAATTTTATTCACTTTTGTATTATTTTAACATATTTTTGATATGTATTTATTTATATTTTTTTTATTCTTCATCCATCAAGCTGATCAAGTATTGGTTGTGGACTACGACGAGAACGAAGCCCTCCTTGGTCCCATGGCTATAATATACTTAGTTATTAAATCAAGAAAAACAAAAGCAAACATCGTCTAATCCCACTCCACCTGTTGGAAAAATTTTTGCTTGAAAAGCTAAAGCAAAGGAAAGAAAAAATAATAAAATTTGGATAACCGAAACCATTTTTTGATTTTTTTAAAATAATTTTTTGAATGACTTTTGAATGGATTTTTTAATAATTTTATATCAAATAAGTTTTGTGAAATAAATTTTAAAATTAAAATTCTAATTTTTTAAAATTTTGAATTAAATTTGAATTAAAAAATTTAAAATGCATGCCTAGAATTATTAAAAATATTTTAAACCAATCCTCATGATTAATATTATTTCATCCAAGCTTTAAAAATAAATATAAGGTACAGGCAAGGGAAAATCATTTAAAAGACTAGCAGTTTATGATCGTAAAGGTGAAGAAGGTTAAGGAAAAATCGGGAGCTCTTGATGAACAATTTCATCAAAAATATTAACTGTTTTCATAATATTTATTCAAGTTTTTAAAAATATTACAAGTTGAATTAAATAATTGAGGAGGAAATAATTTTATTAATAAAATTTTTTTCAAAAAATTTTTCAACTCATTTCTTTAAAACCATTCAATGAAAATCACTAGTTGTGTTAGGGGATCGACACCCCTGCTTCACTTACTGGGCGCCATTCCTTGATGTACGCGATTGCAAACTCCTAGAATTAAATAAAAACTAATTTAATAAAAATAATGATTAAATAATCTGAAGTGACAAAATTCACAAGTAAATTGGACCCACACCGTTTGTCTCGATTGTGTAACAACCACCCATGCTTGCGTATTAAAACAACTAGCATGGTTGGATGCCATGTGATTGAGACGAATGTTATTACTCACAACATGGAGGTGCATGACAAATTTGTCACTTGGACGGTTATTTAAATCATTAAAGAAATGTAAATTTTTATTAAATTCTAGGAACTTGCAATCGCTTTTGTGAAGGAATACCGTCCTGCGGCTGCTGCAGGCGTTTCTGTTCCAGACACGATTTACCGCTGAAAAGGAAATTGGAAGTCCGATGGAACAAAAATTGGAAGATTATAGGATCCAAAAAAATGAAAATGTTTAAAAAGTTTATTTTTTTAATAAAATTGTTGTCTTTGAATTATTTAATTCATCTTACATAAGTTTCACGTAAGCAATTGAGAATTCCTAGAAATTAATAAAAATTTGGAAGTGACAAATGCAGTATGGTTCTCCATACGGTGCACCACACCGTTAGTCTCAATCTCATGCCGACCATGCATGCTGGTAGTTTTGACCTTTGATCCACAACCTTCTGTACACCTAAACAATCAAATTAAAATAAAATTTTTTTAAACGAAAGCTTACTCATAGACGATGATGATGGATGGTAATCATCATCACTAACCATCATATAAGTAAGCTTTCGTTTAAAAAATTTTTATTTTAATTTGATTGTTTAGGTGTACAGAAGGTTGTGGATCAAAGGTCAAAACTACCAGCATGCATGGTCGGCATGAGATTGAGACTAACGGTGTGGTGCACCGTATGGAGAACCATACTGCATTTGTCACTTCCAAATTTTTATTAATTTCTAGGAATTCTCAATTGCTTACGTGAAACTTATGTAAGATGAATTAAATAATTCAAAGACAACAATTTTATTAAAAAAATAAACTTTTTAAACATTTTCATTTTTTTGGATCCTATAATCTTCCAATTTTTGTTCCATCGGACTTCCAATTTCCTTTTCAGCGGTAAATCGTGTCTGGAACAGAAACGCCTGCAGCAGCCGCAGGACGGTATTCCTTCACAAAAGCGATTGCAAGTTCCTAGAATTTAATAAAAATTTACATTTCTTTAATGATTTAAATAACCGTCCAAGTGACAAATTTGTCATGCACCTCCATGTTGTGAGTAATACCATTCGTCTCAATCACATGGCATCCAACCATGCTAGTTGTTTTAATACGCAAGCATGGGTGGTTAATCATCATAAAATATTAATCATCATAAAAAAAAAAAAAAATATTAATCATCATGGGAAACGCGAAAAGACCCTGCACATCGATTAGTGGGGATAGTGAAAGTGATAAAATTCCGATTTTATCGACCGAACAAATTGAACAAATCTCCTTAAATGTTGTACAACTCCTGAAACCAATAATTGAAACAACTATTAAAACATTATTTGAGCAATTTCAACAATCAAGTCAAATAAACAACAACAACCAGCTTCTATCCGAACCAAAACAACCGACCTCTCGCTGGGGGTGCCCACCTAATCTAATGCCTCCAAAAATCCTTCAAGCTGCAACATTAATTGAACAACTTCAACAACCAAAATTCGATGAAAATTTAAAGGAACTTTATAATAAGAAGAGTTATTATGCTGTTATAGAAAGATTTCCAGAAATGGAAAATGAACAAGAAGATATAAAAAATATAGAAAGAAACGTTCAAATTGTGATCAATAACAAAAATTTTAAGGAAGCTAAAACTTTTGAGGTAAAAAGACACGGAATCAAGAAGCACAACAATTATCACCGCATCATAAAAGTTAAATTTACTACACCTTCAGCTGCACAATCATTTATTAATCAATATAGATTATTACATCAACCAATACTGGGCGGACATAGCCCCTTCGCGAGAAGGGACTTAACTCCTCCAGAGCTGCAACTTCAAAATTACCTTAAAAAACAAGTCAAGGAAATTAATGAAAAACACGGAAATGGTACAGCCTGCTATCGTAATCTTAAAATTCATTATAAAAAGTCAGTGAACATGGATTAGGATATAGGGACCTCACAGATAAACAATCAGAAAAATAAGGAAAAAATTAAAAAATTAAATTGCTTACTCTTGAATATACGCTCCATTAATTCAGAAAAGGCCGCAAATAAATTATTTGAGTTAGAAAGTTATTTAATAAAAAATAATATTCATGTAGCTTTTTTATGTGAGACATGGCTAACTGATCATATATCAAACGAATCCCTTCTCATTTCTGATAGCTTTGACTTTATGAGAGTAGATAGGTTAAAAAGAAGAGGCGGCGGCGTAGGCGTAATTTATAAAAAGGATATAAAAATTATTAATATTCCGACTCTTTCAATATCCGAATACAATTACGAACTCCTTACCCTTGATATATACTCAGAATTTAAAAGAATTAGATTCCATTTAATATATAGGCCGCCAAATACAAAATTAGTTGATGATAAAAAATTTTGGGAATTAATAAAGAAAAAATATAAAAATGATCTCTCAAATATTATATTAGGGGATTTAAACCTTCCCAAAATAAATTGGCAGGATTTTACACTTCAGAAAGATAATCAAAACTTATATTTCTACAATACCATGAACAAGCTAAATTTAAATCAGATAATAAAAGAGGCAACCATGTATAATACTTCCCATACACTAGACCTTATCTTACAAAATAAGCAATTAATAGATAAATACGAAATTATAGAAAATTTGGTTTTGAGTGACCACAAACCGATAGTATTTGAATTAATTTTTCCATTCGAAAAAATAACATCTAAAAAGAAAAGAAACGTATTTTTATTTAAGAAAGGGAAATATAAAATAATAAATTGGTACCTAGCTCAATATAACTGGAACAATATACTTAATAAAAAAAACCCCTCAGAAATGGCCGAAATACTGAATTCAATAATAACCCAAGTAATTCAAAAATTCATCCCTATTAAAAAATTTGGTGAGAAAACACCCATGAAATACCCTAAAGAGATTAGAGAAATAATCAAACAAAAAGCTGATGCATGGAAAAAGCTAAAATTAGGGGAAATTAGTAAAGAGAATTATAAAAGTCTTGAAATTAAATGTAAATTACAAATAGGAAAATATAAAAACAACTATCTATCGAAAAAAATAGGATCTGGACACATAGGGGAAATACATAAATTAATGAAAAGAAATCGATTTAACTTCTCTGGTATACCTATACTTAAGGAATCTGAGGAAGGCGACCCCATAATATCCGACACAGACAAAGCAAATAAATTTAGAAATATTTTTGAAGAAATAGTTAGTGGAGGTAAAAACAATATACAAGCAAGCCTCGTAGCTGAGGACGAATATCAGGAAGAAATCACTTTTGAACCATATATAATAGAAAAACTATTAAAAAAGCTCCCAAATAAATTATCCCATAGTCCTGAGAATATCAACCAATATTTTCTAAAAAAATGTGCTACCCCCTTAGCTCTCCCTCTCTCAATTTTATATAAAAATACATTTAAAACAGGAATAGTCCCTGAATTATGGAAAACAGCCCACATTCTACCGATATTTAAAAAGAAGGGTTCGGTAAACGACCCAAAAAATTACAGACCAATTGCTTTAACATCCCCGACTTGTAGAGTTTTTGAGCGTATTATAGCAAATAATATCTTAGAACACCTTAACAAACAAAAATTAATCGCAGAAGAGCAATTTGGATTTTTACCGAAAAGCTCTTGTACAATTCAAATCTTATCATCGATGCAAGACTGGTATAGTTCACTTGACAGGAAAATAGGTACAGATGTTATATATTTTGACTTTGAGAAAGCCTTTGATAAAGTAAACCACGAAATACTTATTAGAAAAATGCAAGAATTAAAAATAGATAGGTTAATAATTCAATGGGTTGCGAATTTTCTCTCAAATCGATCACATAGTGTAAAAATAGAAGAACATTTTTCCGAACCATTTATCCCAAAAACAGGAGTCCCACAAGGGACAGTCTTAGGTCCATTACTTTTCTTAATTTATATAAATGACCTTCCAAAATATATTCCACAAAATGTTAAAGTAAAACTTTATGCGGACGATTTTAAGATTTATTCAGAAATTAAGACGGAAAAGGACTGTATAGAGTTACAGGGGGCTATAGACAATGCGTGTAAATGGTCAGAAATGAATCAACTTAAATTCTCTATAGCAAAAGTAAAGGTTTTAAAAATATACAATAAAATTAGGTTTAATTATGAGATAAATGGTAAAAAAATCGAAGAGGTTAATAACATAAGAGATCTAGGTATATACATAGATAACAAGCTAAAGTTTGATCATCATATATCAAAAATTACCAAATCCTCATTTATAAGAATAAACAATATCCTAAGAATATTACCAAAAACATTACCAATAGAAACATATGTAAAAGCATTCAAAACATACGTAAGACCCATTATGGAGTATTCCACCGAAAATTTTAGCCCCAAATTAGAATATCTTAATAAACAATTAGAAAGACCACAAAAAAGCTTTACAAGGAGAATTTTAAGATATAAATACAAATACCAGAAAATAGAATATAACGAAAGACTAAAAAGATGCAAACTCCTTCCCTCCAATCTCCGTCGTATAAAAACTGATCTTATGACAACCTACAAAATAATCATGGGTTTCTATAAAATAAATCCAGAAAAAATATTTTCAAAACCTAATAGAATTAATCCGCGCTTACATAAATATCAGCTATTCAAAAAGCAAGCCAAAAATAATCATTTCTTTTCACATAGAGTCATAGATAGGTGGAATAAACTTCCAAAAAAAGAAATTGAAAAAATCAGTACTATACCGCAATTTAAAAAATTTTTAGACAAAATATTAACCACAGAAGATTATAATTTATGAGTATGAATTAATGGAGTGTATTAACATAAAATCCTAACCCAAATGTTCACTTTCTTACCTAAACAAATTTACTCAACATTTAAATAAAATTAGTTTTAATACAAATATTTTTTATATACCCAAATATACATACCTATATATTTTTTTATGGCATTTAATTTTATACATTTAATTTATTTTTTCTGTGGAGTCCATTATTTATTTTTTTTTTTACAACTTAACATTTTTTTTAAAACAGTCATATTTTATTTGTTTTTTTTATTGTACGTTACCTCTCCATAAGTGATCCCTGTGGATCCAGGAGTTTTATTTTATTGTTTCACACTTATTTATTTGTGTTCGATAAAGAAAAAAAAAAAAAAAAATGCATGCCTAGAATTATTAAAAATATTTTAAACCAATCCTCATGATTAATATTATTTCATCCAAGCTTTAAAAATAAATATAAGGTACAGGCAAGGGAAAATCATTTAAAAGACTAGCAGTTTATGATCGTAAAGGTGAAGAAGGTTAAGGAAAAATCGGGAGCTCTTGATGAACAATTTCATCAAAAATATTAACTGTTTTCATAATATTTATTCAAGTTTTTAAAAATATTACAAGTTGAATTAAATAATTGAGGAGGAAATAATTTTATTAATAAAATTTTTTTCAAAAAATTTTTCAACTCATTTCTTTAAAACCATTCAATGAAAATCACTAGTTGTGTTAGGGGATCGACACCCCTGCTTCACTTACTGGGCGCCATTCCTTGATGTACGCGATTGCAAACTCCTAGAATTAAATAAAAACTAATTTAATAAAAATAATGATTAAATAATCTGAAGTGACAAAATTCACAAGTAAATTGGACCCACACCGTTTGTCTCGATTGTGTAACAACCACCCATGCTTGCGTATTAAAACAACTAGCATGGTTGGATGCCATGTGATTGAGACGAATGTTATTACTCACAACATGGAGGTGCATGACAAATTTGTCACTTGGACGGTTATTTAAATCATTAAAGAAATGTAAATTTTTATTAAATTCTAGGAACTTGCAATCGCTTTTGTGAAGGAATACCGTCCTGCGGCTGCTGCAGGCGTTTCTGTTCCAGACACGATTTACCGCTGAAAAGGAAATTGGAAGTCCGATGGAACAAAAATTGGAAGATTATAGGATCCAAAAAAATGAAAATGTTTAAAAAGTTTATTTTTTTAATAAAATTGTTGTCTTTGAATTATTTAATTCATCTTACATAAGTTTCACGTAAGCAATTGAGAATTCCTAGAAATTAATAAAAATTTGGAAGTGACAAATGCAGTATGGTTCTCCATACGGTGCACCACACCGTTAGTCTCAATCTCATGCCGACCATGCATGCTGGTAGTTTTGACCTTTGATCCACAACCTTCTGTACACCTAAACAATCAAATTAAAATAAAATTTTTTTAAACGAAAGCTTACTCATAGACGATGATGATGGATGGTAATCATCATCACTAACCATCATATAAGTAAGCTTTCGTTTAAAAAATTTTTATTTTAATTTGATTGTTTAGGTGTACAGAAGGTTGTGGATCAAAGGTCAAAACTACCAGCATGCATGGTCGGCATGAGATTGAGACTAACGGTGTGGTGCACCGTATGGAGAACCATACTGCATTTGTCACTTCCAAATTTTTATTAATTTCTAGGAATTCTCAATTGCTTACGTGAAACTTATGTAAGATGAATTAAATAATTCAAAGACAACAATTTTATTAAAAAAATAAACTTTTTAAACATTTTCATTTTTTTGGATCCTATAATCTTCCAATTTTTGTTCCATCGGACTTCCAATTTCCTTTTCAGCGGTAAATCGTGTCTGGAACAGAAACGCCTGCAGCAGCCGCAGGACGGTATTCCTTCACAAAAGCGATTGCAAGTTCCTAGAATTTAATAAAAATTTACATTTCTTTAATGATTTAAATAACCGTCCAAGTGACAAATTTGTCATGCACCTCCATGTTGTGAGTAATACCATTCGTCTCAATCACATGGCATCCAACCATGCTAGTTGTTTTAATACGCAAGCATGGGTGGTTGTTACACAATCGAGACAAACGGTGCGGGTCCAATTTACTTGTGAATTTTGTCACTTCAGATTATTTAATCATTATTTTTATTAAATTAGTTTTTATTTAATTCTAGGAGTTTGCAATTGCGTACATCAAGGAATGGCGCCCAGCAAGTGAAGCGGGGGTGTCGATCCCCCAACACAACTAGCGATTTTCATTGAATGGTTTTAAATAAATGAGATTTAATAAAATAATCCTATTTTTTTCAAAAGCATTAATTTTTAAAAAATCAAAATGAAAATCACTTGAATGACGGGGTGACTTTTGCGTGAATAAATTATTTCTTGTATTTTGGCCGCACATAAATAATCTAAACGGATGAGAACTTCAAAAATGGGAATACTATTGTAAAATCAAATATATTATCTTAAACTCCAATTCTTGTTACACCAACAAAAGGTATATTGGAATGATCAGAAATTATTGACTGAGGTTGTCCTCTAGAGCGGTTAAACCTTTGTTGTTGTTGACGAACCCAGGGTTGGCCTTCTTCATTATAACGAACAACCTTTTAAATTAAAAAAATATTTTAATTCAAAATTTCCAAAAATAATTACTTGTTCAATAGCCTCATTAAGACGTTCAATTGGGGGTTCAATAAAGATTACATCTTCAATTGGCTCCTGATCAGTTGAGGGAATAGAAAAGTTTCCTAAATTTTTAAAATCTTATAAGTTAACAAAATTAAAAAAACCTTTCATTTCAAGCATTGCTTCAGCAGGCATTTGTCCAATTCCTCCTTGTTCTCTAGCTTGTCGAATCAAACGTCTTTCGTGTTCTGCTTCACTTGGTATAATAACTACGCATTTACGTTGAAAATCCTAAACAATTTGAAAATGTTTTTAACAAAATTTTTCAAATTTTACTTGAAATTGAGTTAATTTTCGTTTTCTGGCATCTCTCGTCACATTTGTTTGATCCAAAATATAATTATGTCTTCTACGACAAGCCATTTGTAATGAACGATTTAGTGCTTTAGCTGTTAACCCCATAACCATATCCCATCTGCCTTGATGTACTCTTTGCCTTGGGACACCATTTACAGCCATTGACTAAATAAAGAGAATTATTCTGATAAAAAATTATTTAAGTATAAACTAAAATCTAAAAATTAAGGTTAGATTAATGCTATAGGAAGGTATAAAATCAAGAAGCCAGAGATCTATCATTTCAGGACAAATATATATCCAGAAAATTTACAAATCAAACCAGACAGTACTAAACGTGACGTAGAAAATAGAAAAATCGTTAAGAAAAAAGACCACGACTTGAAATATTTTTTAAAGATAAATTTTTAACCTGCAAAATAGAATCATTGTTGAGAAGAACCCAATCCTCTTCTGGATGTTCTTTTAAATATTGACGAACCCAACTAGTTTTACCAACACCAGAAAGACCAACCATAGCAATTATAGTACAATGTGCCTCAAAATTGATTAAAAATAATTTAAAATTATTTATAAAAAATACTTTATCAGATATTGGCCTTCTACTCGGGGCTAACATTCTTAAATCAATCTTTCCAATCCATTTTGTTCCTTCAGGAACTTCATCTGGTGGCAAGCTAAAAAATTAATTCAAAAAATATTTTTAAAAGAAAAATTACCCCCATTGATTTATTTCTTCATCAGTAATTGTATTGTCTCCATTTGTATTTAAATTTGATTGAGGTGGATTATCAGGGAATTCATTGCCAAAATAAACATAGACTTTACAATTCTTTGTTGCAATATGAGGAAAGAAAACATCTCCAGTTTGAAATTGTATATCAGTAAATGCTGGTCCCAAAGTTTGCGAATTTTTGAAGAAACGGATTTCACCGCAATTTATATCCTTACAAAAAATTATCAATTCTTAAATGTTTATTGTTAAATTAATTACCAAAACAGCAGTAATCACATCACCTATTCCAAAAGGTTCTCCATAATCTGAAAATATATTTCCCGTTGCTTTATTTGCCATAGAATTAAAGGCGAATGAATAAGGAGACTCTCCCAACTTTAATTTAAAATAATTTTTTAGACAAAAAATAATTAACCATATTAGAAGTTCCTAAACGTGACCATCCCAAACGAATATCATGAGCATCAGGCTCTTCAAAAGGTAAATGTTTTAGTGATAGAAGTTCAGCAATCTATTAAAAAACAAAAGATCTCTTTATTTAAATTAAATTTTTATTTAAAGTTTACTACCTTCACTTGAAAAGCTAAAGGAGGCATATCATCTCTTTGTTCAGGAACAATAATTCCATAATTTGCTCGAACACCTCCCCACATTAGAGCAAAACCATCAGCATTGTCTGGATCAATTAACCAATTATTACTTGTTGAAGCCTTCATATTTAGATCAGAATTATCTTTAAAAATAAAACATCTATTTGAAAAACTAAATTAAAATACAAAAATCAAGTTCAATTTCTTCTTCGTTTGGCAATGGTTCTTCTTCTATTACTAATTGTGGTTCCTTATCTTTATTTTTTGTACGAAGTGGAAGTCCTGCTGCGATTTCAAATAAATCATCATCCATATCGTCAGGAACCTAAAGAAAATTTCATTCGCCATATAAGAAAAATTAAACAAACCGGTTCTCCATGAAATTGTTCTGGATCTGGAAGTTGTCTATATTCCTCGTCTTCTTCTATTTTTAATTCATCAGCACTAGGTGGAACTTGTTCATAGTGTGCTCTTGGTTCAAGTTCTGTATCATCATCAGTACCTTAAATATGAGAAAACAAAAATTTAATTTCCAACAAATAAGGTTGAAAAACTAACCAAATTTTCTTCGTAAAACATCTGAAGCTTTATGAAGTAAAGCTTTTGGATCTTTCAATAATTGACTAAACTCATCTACAATCAAAATTTCATCTCCATCTTCTTCCTCAACACTCCTCTCATCATTTTCTTGTTCCATTTCATCTTCTTGTGATTGCTCTTCATAATATTCCTCATCTTCAATATTGCTTGCTTCTTCGCTAGATAATTCACCATCTTCATATTCATCTATTTCACCCATCTCCTTGTCACTATCAATATGTTTTTGATGTTCTTTATTGACATTATTTTCAACGCATAGTTCAACAGTCTTAATTTAAAAAGTCAAACGAAAATATTAATAAAATAAAACCGATGAAATAGATGATGAAGGAGGTGGTGGAGCTTCAGATCCAAATGAATATGAAAAGGAATTGCCATTGCCAACAACTGATGGCAAAGAAGAAGAAAATGTTGATGAACAACTAATAGCTGGAATTAAAGCAGGAGAGACAATCTCAATTCCGTCAACATTCTTTAAAGTTACAAATATATAATTAGAATATTTAATTATGCATACCTTTGATACTGTATTAAGTAAGTCAGAAACAATTGAAGAAATCACTTCAATATCAGAGCTTGGATCAATGGAACCGGTAAGTTGTTCATTTGCTTTAGGTTGAGTATGGTTGATATCTGGTGAATTTATGGAAGTAATTACTCTTGGAGGAGGTGGAGGTGGCGGGGGAAGCAAAGAAGGAATAGATAAAGATGGCATAGCAGTATGCTAAATTTTTTAATAATTTAGAAAAGGATAATAAAGAAGATGAAAAACATACACGTGAAGGTGGTGGCGGAGGTGGAGGAGTATCTGGTCCAATTGAAGAAAGTCCAAGCGGATCTCTACGATCAACAATCAACGGTGGTGAGTTAGATGAAATGGAGTTCACAAATGAAAAATGATCTTCTCTATCGACCTTAAATTTAATAAAATTAAGGTTTAGGAGATGATTGTACCTTCTTTGGAGGCGGTGGCGGAGGTGATGGAAATGGGAAATGTGGCCGTTTAAAACTCACAGGACGAGGAGAAGTTTCTGAAAAATATAACAAAAAATCAGAAAAATATAAGAATAAACCTGTACTAATTGGAGACTTATTAATTGTTTGATGTCTAGAAGTTTCAGAATAATTAACAGAAGTAGAAAGTGATGTTTGGGATATCTGAATATTTCCAGTAGTTGTTCCAGCAGATAATCCACTAGCTCGATCCATTCGCTGTTTTCGTTTTTTCAATTCCAGTTCTAACAATTCATTAACCTCTTCATCGTCAGAAGAATTTTCATTGGTTAATTCAGCTACAGATTTTCCCATGCCTAAAGTAGCTGTTTTTCTGGCAAGTAATTGTTCCTGTTTGTCCAAAATTGAATCGAGAATATCAAATCCTGGAGATTGATTGGCAACTAAAAAAAATCAAAAATTTTAACTAAAAAAATAAAATTTAAAACCTTTTTTCTGCGTAGATTCTTTTGTTGTTTTTGGAGTTGATTTTAACTTTGTAGAAGCATCTTCCCCAGAAGCTAATGTTGCTCTTCGTTTTTCAATTTGTTCAGGACGCTAAATAAATAATATTTGGTTAAAAAATAATTAGAAACAAACTTTTTGTTGGCTATTTTGACGTTGTTCTTTAATCAATTTTTGTTTTTTCTGTTGTAAAGAACTCAAATTTAGTTTTTCTTCAACAGATTTTTCTTTAGAAAATGCAGGTGTATTTTGTAGTTTATTCTTATTTATCGTTGATTCAATTTTAGGAGAACTGGAATTAGAAATTGTAGAAGAAATATCAGAAGCATCAAATCCTGCGGAGATTTTCCTCAAAGTTGTTTTTGGTGTTGCTGACAAAATTTTCTTATGAGGAACTTCTTTTGACTCTTTTTGTGGTAAAACGGGAACTTTTGTGTGTTCAGCAGAAGTAACTGAGGGAGACTTGGACGAATTTTTTGATTTTTCTAAAAAAAGCAGTATAAATACAAAATACCACACAACAAATTAATCGAACCTTTATTTTCGAGATGGATTCTCTTGACTTTTAGTGTAAGCCGCTCTTGATTTTCTCCATTTTGGTTGATTGATTCTTTATTTTTGCTAGCTTTAGTGTCTTTAACAGTTAATTTTTCCATTACTGGACTCTCAGCAATTATTGAAGTATTCATTGGTGGTGTTGAAGCAAGATTAGGTGATGGTTGTTCCTGTCAATAAATAGACGTTGCGAAAAATCCGAACTTACGTTAGTTTTCAGCGCAGTCACAACTTGAGGCATTTCCTCGTGAAAAATTGGAGGCTCTGGAGCTTTAGGAAACAATGACAAAACTGTAGCAATCGAAGGCTTTTCTTTGGCCCAGTTAAATTTTAAGGGAGGAGCAGCAACTGATACTGGATTGGTCAATATTTGAATATCTGGTTGTAGTTGTTCAGTATTCTCAATATCAATTATATCATCATCTGGCTGACGATCATCAACCTGCAAATTTTAATTTTAAAAAATTTTCACAATAATCTCGTACTTTTCGCTTGTAGCCTCGTTTATTTTTCTTTGGTGATTCACTTTCAACACGTGAAGTTGAAAATGGCGATGGATCATACAATTGACGACCTCCCTCTGCGAGACGCACATGATCTTCCAAGCGCATAGCTAGATCGTCTTTATTTCCGCGAACATCCAATCCTTAACGAGGAAATTAAATCTAAACATTTCCCCAGATAAAGCTAATTTCTCAATAAAGAAGTTCAAAAAACCTCTATTCTGTAACTCTTCCTTCAAGCGTTGTAAAGGCAACAAAGAAATCATTGCGGGATTTAGAGGTCCTCCAGTAACACCAGCAGAACGTCTGGTTCTTACTTCCATCATTAATTAATTTGAAAATGTGAATCAATCCTAAAACATAAAAATAAATCTTGAAGGTAAAAAAACAAAACGAAAAATCGACAAAAACAGCCAAACTCATCAGTCGACCTTTTTGTCCATTTGATGAAACGATATTTAATTTCATGACAAATATCAAAATATCTAAAAAGTAAATAATGACAATTGGACAGAAGACAATTGGTCAATAATGATAGGTATACCAAAAAACAAAACGACAATTTGGTTAGGTCAAGAAAATACTGTAGATGGAGAGAACTTTTTAATAAAAACTAATTTAAAAAATCATTTAATTGGAATGAAAAAATATTTAATAAAAATATTAAAAGAAAACAAAAATTAATTTTTATTTTTTATTATCCTCATCAGATTCATTTTGATGATTTTCTTTAGAAGAGGAATTTGAGGAAGAACTTTCCTCCTTATTTTCATTTTCTATCGGTAAAAGTTTTGTTTTAAATTCTTTTTCTTCCCCTAAAGGTGCCGAATCTGCCCTTCTTTTTTTATTTTTTGAAGGATGAGTGAATGTTTTTGTTGATTTTATTTTTATAGGAGTCCCTCCATCTTCAACTAATTTTAATGTTGTATCTTCACTAAAACGTTGTTCTGAATTATTTATTAATAAATCTGAATGAATTCGATAACTATAAAGGAATTAAAAAATTAATTTAATTTTTAGAAAAAATGTCCAAACAGTTCAGAAGTTAATTCACTTGTAAAAAGTATTCCTGTATGCATTCCAACCATTCTAATAACAAAAACTCCATCATTTTTTAAAAATTCTTTAACAAAACATGCAACATGTTTACGTTCTTCTAAAAATTAAAATTAATTTTTTTAAACATTTTTGAGACAATTATAATGTTAATTTAATTTTTTTATTTATATTACATCTTAAATGAGTGATTTTATTAAAAATTCCCCCAAAATAGAACCGGTATTTGTCTAAAAATGGAAACTGAAAACCGGGGAGAAAACAGCTATAAATTTTAATTATTCCTAGCCACTTTATCAAACTCGGGATCCTTCATTCTATTTAAGCATCCTTACATTATCGAATATATGTAAAGGGATATTTAGAGAATTTTAAAAGAAAAATAAAAAATAATTTTGGAATATTTTTGTTTTTTTAATTACCCACTTTTAATTGTGTACATATCCAATTGTTTTTCACTTGGCTCCATTCGACAAAGTTCCAAAGCTTGGGCAATATACCACGTTCCAAAATGGGGGAATAACATCATTGTTAACCTAAAAATTGGAAAATAATTCTAAATTTCAAATTATTTACCAATAAATAAAAGAAATAGAAGTAGCTACAAGTAAAATACCATACCAAAACCACAAAAGAATAAAAACTTTAAATAAATTAAAATATTTTTTAAATTAAAATTTAAAACTTTTTTCTGTAAAAATATTTATTACGAGAACACATTGAACTGAATATTTTTGAATATTTGCCATTTGACGAACCTTGAAAATTTATTTTTAAAATTAAATAGGGCAGAAAATTAATATTTTAATATTTATTAAAGTATGTATACTAATGATATTTTTTATTTCATTGGATCAGGGATTTGTCGGGTCGGGTTTCGTGTCGGGTTTTAAAAATTTTCTTCGGATCAGGCTTCGGATTAGAAGGTCTCGGTCACGAGTGAGTTCGGATAACCCGAGCCATCACTGTATGGCAACTTAAAGAGCCGAACCGGAATAATCGAAAAATGGGACATAAAAGAATTTGTGATTGACTAAAGTTATGTCGAACACTGACCACTTAAAAATAGGAAAGATGTCAGAAATTTATTTCTGTATAATTAGGTAAATAATTTTAAGATTAAAAAAAACAAAACAGTAAAATCGCAAAGAGAAACACGAGGGAAATATCCAGAAGCCTGCCATGGAATTCCTCGCATTAAATCTTGTATTACACTAATTCCATACCATTGATATCTGTCTGTCTCTAAAAATCTTTTATAAAAAATATATAAATATTTTTTTCCAAAAATTTACTTATTCATTAAATAAAGTTGAGCAAAAATATTGACAAGGTATAAAAATTTTGTGAAAAGGTAAATAAATGAAATTAAACAGGCAGAATATGTTATGTTGAGAAAACGCCTATTTTAAAAATAATTATTATTTTAAAATAAATTTTTTTAACGCGAGAGATTTGTTTTTTAAAGTTAAGGTTGTGCCTGAAACCAAATTAAAAAAAAAGAAACCCGATTGGAGATCGGACGAAACGGGTGGTAACTCGAGAAATCCCGATTCCCGATAACAGATTTTGTTCAGAATCTCATCTCGGTCTGATTTTTAGTTAGAGATTCTCTTCTATTTTTTTGTATAAGAAGAAGAGAAGGATTAAATTAAATTGAATGTTTATCTAATAATTAAGGGAAGGAAGGCTAAAGTAAATTAATTAAAAATTAATTTTTAAATTATTTTTTACATAGTTTTGTGTATAAATAAATGCCTATTTAATATTTGATTTTGAAAACGCAAAGCTCTAGCCAAATGATTGGCTAACATAATTATTGTTCTGTGACGGCATTCATCCTAAAATAATTTTTGAAAATTAATTTTTTTAAATTTTTCTCACTTCCATATTTTGTGAATCTAGAGCTTTAACTACGATATCGTGAACACGGACACCTTAGAAAATAAAAGTAAATATTTCAATAATAATAAAAATATATTTTATTTTGAAGAGAAAGGGATCTCCACCTTTTAATTTTTTATTAAATTTTATTAGGATCTGTTAATTAACAATTTTTGACTTTAAAAAATCGCAACATTTTTTGAATATTTAAATAATTTTTGAAAATATTTACCTGAACTAAGACTTGCAGCCTTCCATAAAATACTTTAAAACAAATATTTTTTTCTTATTAATTACAAATTACCTCGGTAATCTAAAACAAGCAGCTTGTAAAAGTAAAAAGAAGGGAACCCATTGATAATAGGAAAGTTTTCTTTCTTCAGAATATCTTTCAGATTCTTTAATTTGTGCAACATGTACTTCTGGAGGTAAATAATAGGTATCTTCTGACCAACAAAAATTTTCTGCATACTTTAGAAAATTAAAAAAAAAGGATTTTTAAATTAATTTAAAAAATTTTTTGAGATGAAAGGTAATTTTAAAAATTAATTTCCATTTTTATTTTTGGTTTAATAAATTTAATAGTTCTGTTTAGTTGGAGAGGAATCTCGTAGAAAATTTTTTTTTATTAAATCGAAATTTCTTCTTTCTTCCTACTACAAATTATTAAAAAAATTTTTCGAAAATTAAAAATAAGCAAGGAAAGACACAATAAGATAATAAGAATATTTTTTAAATAATATTTTAATTTTTATAAATAATATTTAGGAACCGTCAGTTAAAAATTGAGGGTAATCCTCGGAAATAACCTAGTTTTTCTGTCCAATTTTAGATAAAATTAATTTTTATTTTTTTATTAACACTCCCATTGTATCAATTTTTAAATAAAAATATTTTAACAAATATTTTCTACCTGTTCCCAACTTCCAGGAAATTTATTTGGAAACATACACTCCAACGGTCTTTAATTAAATTTAAATTAATTTAATTATTCACTATTTACCTTCCCCCAAATTGTTTAAAAGAAATTAAAACAGAAAAGGCTAACAACATATTTGGAGTATATAAATAATTCATTCTGTCGGCAAAATCATCTTTTTAAATTTTTTTTAATTTTTAAAAATTATTTTTATATACCGTCTTTATGCGCTGATAAATAACGCGCCATAGAAATTAATGTTTCGATCATCATTAGTAATTTTATTTAATTTAAAATATTTTTTATTAAATCTTAAAAAATAATTTTAGAAAATTAAGAAAAAAGATTTTAAAATTAAATATATAAAAGAAAAAAATTTTCCAAGAAAGCTCCTCCGTATAGTGAATTCCCTTCAATTAGGGTTGGGGTTTCGAGTCGGCCCGAAGTTCGGGTCATTTTTTCGGGCCTCGTTTTTATCGGGCCGGCCCGAACGATCTTTTTCGAGCCAAAATTCGAGGCCCGACGCGATCTTTCGGACCGGACCGGGCCCCTAACTCTACCTTCACAATAAGTAAATTCCCTTCACTAATTAAAATATAAGCTTTCGTATTGTCTTTAATTTTTCTTTTTTTTGAAATAAAAAACAAAACTTCATAAATATTTTTATTGTTGAGAGTTATTCTTTCAGAAGATCGTTTTGCGTCTTGCGACAGAAAATAACAATCAAAAAAATAAGAAAGAAAAATGCGCGACTTTTATTGAATTTTTTCCCCTTATATTTTTGTCGCAAACATTAACTATTAACAAATTCTCAAAATAAATTTAAAAAAAAAAGAAAAATAAATCGAAAAATAACAAAATTAAATTTAATTTAAAAAATTTTTTTATTGATTCCTCTCAAAATGTGCAAACAGTAGTAAAACTATAAACACTTTAAAATAATTTTTGAGCAAAATTGAAAGGGAAAATATTTATTTATTTTTGATTAATGTGGAAATAGAGAAAAACAATTAAAAAATACTCAAAATAAATTTAATAAAATAATTATTTTAAAGTGGATTGATGGGAAAATTGAGAGGAAAGAGAGTAAGTAGACTATTTATTTAATGGAGAATAAATTGTAACATTAAAAATAGGTCGAAGAAATCTGCATAGAAATCAATGACAGGACTAGAAAAATCCCTTACAAAGGAAAGTGCCTGGGGTGTCCGTGGGACTTCGGGATGAAATTTGGTAGACAGGTAGGCCCTATTAAGTTGTGAAATTTTTATCATTTTCGTTGCGGGGTACCGTGGATCGAGTTATAAGCTCTTAAAGTTTTAGGTCTCCCACAGCGGTGGTGCAGTGGGATCATTTACTATACTAAAGTAGGTTATGATCTACCTGTCTAACAAATTTCATACCGAAATTCCACGGACAACCCAGGCATTCTCCTTTGACAGCTAAGGTTGGGGATTTTTAAAACTTATTTAAAGTAGATTTACTACAAGGCCTCAATCTCTCCCTCTTCTTAATATTGTACTAGAAATGTCCCATATTTTTATTTATTATACTTATTCATCCACTTACATAATTGTAAAACTATCGATCACAAAAATAAGATCAAAGGGGGAACAACGAACAATAAATAATAAAAATATAAAAAGAAAACTTTTTTAAGAAATAAAAAAATAATAGTAAAATGAGGTAAAAACATAAATAAAAAAACAAAAATTTGTGTAAATACTTTTAACGGTAAACAACAAAAATATATACATTTTACTAAAATATGTAAATATCCAAAATAGTAAAAGTACTAAATAAATCTTTGTTTATAAGCTAATACACATAAATATTGTTTATTATATTATTTTTTAAATTAAAAATAAAAATTGGATAAATTTAAATTAATTGAGGATATTTTTAGAAAAAATTAAATAAATTCAAAGGTTGATGATTAATTTGTAATTCAACAATTAGGGCCTAGTAGAAATGTTGAAAATTAAAAATAACTGGCAGTTCATTTAAGTAAATATTAGAAAATTGTTCAGTTAATATGATAATTTAATAAAATATAATTATTAAATTACAAAATTTTAACTTTTAAAAATTCCGGAAAGTTTTGGGGAAATAATTTAAAAAGGAATTGTTTTTAAATTGAATAATTATTTAAGAAATCTTTATTTTTTAAATTATTCGAGGGAATGTAGATTTTAAATCAAATCTAAACAAAGGTAAGGGATTATGTGTTGTACTGACATAATCAGGAGAATATTTAAATAGCTTCGATCTTGATATTACGACTAATTAGACAATTTAAATAAATCCAAACGAGAAATGTTTATTTTTAAAAACCTCTCAATTAAATAAATTTGTAACAAAAAAAAAGAAAAAAACATTTTTTATCATTTCCAGATTACAAATTTTAAATTTAAAAAATTAAAGTAAAAGGTGTTTAATTAAATAAAAGCATTGTAAACAATTGTATTTAAATTTAATTGTTCTTCTTTCAGAGTTTCTTGTAAAAACGTTTTGTTTTGACATCATTATATTCCATATGCTTAAATTTAAAAAATTATTTAGAAAAAAATATTTTTTTTTATTTTTATATTTTTTCCCAATTTAAATTTAGGCCATAGTCAGTCACTTTTAAAATCTTTTAAAAAAATCCCCAATTAACTAACCATAACTAGCCACCCATCCCCATCAATAATATAATCATAAATATCTGCTGGGTCATTTGGAGCATCAACTTTTGTGTGAACTTCAGTTAAGGCATCCTTCTTTGGATCGTAAGTAAATTTAATCTTTAAAAGAAAATTAATTTATTTTAAAATTTAAATTAATTCTTTACTTTATGCATAGAATCATCCAAATATTCAGCAGTAAATTCTTCTCCCAAATTAAATTTGGGCCATTCAACGTTCTTTTTGGTGGTCTAGAAAATTTTAGAAATTATCAAAAACTTCAATTTCCCTCCATTTACCTCAATTTTGCATCCATAACTTCCATCATCATTTTTAGTAAATGTTTTGGTTATTCCAGCTAAAAGGTGCTGTAAATGCACAAATTTTTTTAAAATAATTATTACCTAATTTAACCATTTGGCGCATAAACCAGCCATAACCTTTTGCCTAGAAAGGTTTGGAATTAATGAAGAAAATATATTTTTAATTTAAATAATTCAAGAATGGGAAGAAATCTTTTAATTGAGGGCTTAGTAAGGCTCTCCCAAATTTCTAAAAGGTTATGTTTCCATTCAATTACGGGAACTGAAACTAAAAACCATTCAAATTTTTGGGACCAGACAGTAGTGGTTCTCACTGAGTAAAAAATTCAAGAAATGACCACTCTCACTGAGTGGTCCATCCATGGAGTCTGGTTATTAGTCACTTCCTCTCTGTATCAGATTGATTAAAAATAAATCCCCTCCCTCCTTTACCTCCAAATATTCATCAAAATTCTCGCTGTGATCGACAGTCCAAGAACCAAGAAATTTGTCTGGCAAAGCCTTCGACGTTGTAGAAACAGAAGTTAAAGCAGCAACGGATGAAATTGAGATAATTGAAATAATAAAAAAAAGAATTGAAATGATTGAAATGATAGAAAGTATGGGGAAGAAGAAGAAACGCATTTTGTTTTTGATAAAGATTTTTTAAAAAAAAAAATTAAAGAATCTAAAAAATTTAAATTAAAAACTTTTAAAATTAGGATAGAGTTAAACTTGAAAAATAAAAGAAAAATAAGGGAATTTTGTATGTATAAGTATGTATTTTCTTGGAGGTTGCTTTTCGATTAATCACTCTTTTAAAAAATCTGAAAGAAAAATTCTAAAATTTGTTTTCAGAAAATCTGAATGTATATCAGGTCCACATGACGATCCCCGTCACTGAAATCTGACAAATTTTATTTTCAGCTTTCTAAATTTATTTTTAGAAAATCTGATATGTAAATATGTATAAGAGTTATTCCTCTTAATTAATTGTAGATTTAACAGATAATGTTTTTATTTGAATGTCAGAATTTTATTTTATAAGGAATGGGGAAACTAAATAAAATATACTTGTATTTATTGTAAAAAAATAGGTAGGAGGAGTTTTTATTTAACATTTCTCCTAGCTTTTAATGGCAATATATTTTTGTAATAATTACTGGGAAAGTTTTTTATTTAGAAAAGAAAAAGCTGTAAAGCTAGAAAAAGGTTGTAAATAGTAGAATATACACATATGTTTTTTAATATTAAACTTTATTTTCTAAATAAAACATAACAAACTTGAATGTGTGATTCTCTTAAAGAGATCATCTATTTGAATGTCCTCTCTTTAGTTAAGTGTAAGGGTTGGTTCCTGTTTCCGATTCCCCATACACGCCTGACAATCCCCGACACCGAAATCTGACAGTCTATTTCCCGATATCTCCATTCATCTAAAAAGTTATCAATTCTAGTTTAGCGGTCATCATTATGGGGATTCGAATTCGTGGAAAATACTATTCCTGAATTCCTCTCTTTAGTTAAGTGTAAGGGTTTGGTCCCTAACTCTGATTCCCCGCTTCCGTCTGACGATCCCGAAATGACTGTCTATTTCCCGATATCTCTATTCCCGAAAGAGTTATCAACCCTGGTTAAGCAGTCAAGGGATTCGAAATTGTGGAAATACCATTCCAGAATTAAAGGCGTTTTGTGTTAAATAAATAAAGTCTGTGAATAATCAAATAATAATTTAAATTATTAGAATTTTAAAAAGTTTTTTGTCCTTTTCTTCAGAAATTATTACAGATTATAAATTATAACAGGGATTGTGACATAAAAACTTTCTAAAACGTTAATCATTAATAAAGAAAAAGTTTTTTTATCAGAAAATAAAAATCTAGAAAAATATAAAGACAACAACGTGCTTGCTCTTTTAGCTTATTTAAAAGTAAAAAAGAAAATTGTTGTCCATTACTAACCCTTTTCTTTCATCAACGTAGAGAGAAGGGGGGTGAATGGCAATTTATATTTTTATAAAATTTCTTTTTGTTTAGTTTTTTATTTATTGCTCTTAATCACAATTTGCCCATCATCAATTTATTTTTATTTTATTAGCTATTGGAAAAATGAGAGAAATAAAAAATATTTTTTTTAAAGTAAAAGAAAAATTTTTTCTTTTTGACACAAATAATTTCCCCGTAGTTTCTGTGACATTTGAATAATTAAATGGGACATTGGCTAACTTCAAAGAGACCGCCAAGTATTGTAGAATAAACAAACAAAAATAATCTTTAAATGATGATTGGCCTCTTTGACGGCACTAAAATATACATAGATATGCCTAAGTATATCTTTTATTCCTTTTCCCTTATTATTCTCTTAGATAACTGCAAATTTATCAAATAAAAAATCAGATAAGAAAAATAAAAGCAAAATAAAAAAGTCAAAAATGCTTTAAACAAAATCTTTTATTCTCAAGTACTTTTTGTGTACAAGAAGATCTTTAATCTTTCTAATTTTCTTTAAAGATAACTTTACTTACTTATATGTATTAGTTAGGTATTGAAAGAAAAATATTTAAAAATGCTTTTAAAAAATACACAAAAGATACAATTTCTAAAATAAAAATACAAAAAAATATTTTTCAAAAAAAATTCTGGCAATAGACCCCCTTTCTTTTCCCTGAATCCCTCTTTGCATTTGTTCTCATTTTTTCTGGATATTATATATCATTTGAAAGTTATCTTCGAGCTGAGTCAAATGACACTAAAATTAACGAAATATGACATAAATCAAGCAAATTATGATTGTCTATTTTAATCCATTTTAGCGGCTCAAAAAGCTTTTCCGAGGATTTAGCTTCATAATTCTGTTCAGAATCAACAGATTTAACATTTTGGTTTAACACACAGCTCAAATAGTTCTCTTGGTAGTGGGGCCAATTCTAGTTCGATAGAGGCCTGTAGTCTATAATTTTTCTAATTGGGTCAGGATAAAAAAGGCCGAAAATTGGCAAAAGATTTAAAATACATTTATTTTAAAAATACAAAAAAAATTTTACAAAAAAATATTTTTTCTAAAAATTCATTAAATAATAGGTGGGGGTGTTGGAGGAGTTCCAGCACGAGGTATAATAGGTACATGTTGTAATCCACTATCAGTTCTGGCTGTTTCAAGTAATTCATTGTCTAAACCTTCTAACCAATATGTGAGGAGAGTGCCAACACCCTTAAAAATATTTTCTAGAGTTTTTTAAAATTAAAAACCCCTTTCTACCTCAATTCTAACCCCTCCCCTCGGTGCACATTTAAATTCTGGAAATTGTTCAGAAAGTAATTGATAACTCCTTAGAGTCATTTGAATTTTGTCTGGCTGACCAGAATTTTCCATTTTTGCAGCTAACGTTACTTTAATTGGATGGAAAATTTTAAACTCAATAAAAGGAATATACCAGTTGTGCCAAACACACAATAACGAGGAGCTGTTATTCCAACAACACCTGGAATAGAAATAAGTTTAGAAGGGTGTTGTGAAAATAATAAAAATGCCGGGAAAACATCGTTTAGAATTTAGCCAAAATATTTATCTAATACTTATCACAATTATATAGGCATTAAAATTATGTTTATCCCTCCTTATCTTCTTACTTATCCCCCTCCTTGATCCTCGAAAGCTTTCCTTTGTATGGTTGCTACACAACCACTGTCTCATCATTTTGCCTTATATACTAAAGGAAGCTTCATCGGCCTTAAGGTACTAACCCGGAAATCTGAAATGCTAAGTTCTATTTAGGTGTACAATAAATCAGATATTTGTCCAACAATCAATAAATACTAGATTTACTATTTTAAAATCTAAAAACTACCAGTAAAAACACTTCCAGAATTAAACCCCCAACGACAGTGAAGATACTGCGAAGGTCTATGAGGTATTTCATAATGACAGAGAAACTAAACAAAATAATAATTTTTGTAATTTTTATTATCAATTTAAGTACATCTCTTTGCAATAAAGCAACAGAAGCAATTTCCTTAATATGGCTGTCCATCTGTTGGGGAACACCCGAGGCGACCATATAAGCATCCCCTTTAAAAAATTAAGGAAAAATATTTTTAGTTATTTAATTACCTATAGTTTCTACTTTAAATGCTTGATGTCTACTTATTGCCTAAATAAAAAATTTAAAAAAAACTGGGAAAAGTGATTTATTACTTCATCAAAAGCACGAAACATTCCATTAAGCTAAAAAATAATTTAAAATAAAAATACTTTTTTTAGTATTTGAAAATTCAGATTTTGATAGAAAAGACTTGAAAATAAAATATTTAATCATTCTCCTTTCCAAAAATTTCTCATTGCATATTTTTAATTAAAAATAAAGAAAAATAAATTTAAATTAAAAAAAGTCTACCAAATCCACAACTTCCATCGGAGCACTTTCACTACAAAGAGAGGTAAATCCAACAATATCGCTATACATAACAGTAACGGAACCATAAAATTGAGGTTCTACACGAAGACCGAGACGAAGTTCATCAACCACCGACCTTTTAAAGGGGAGTAAATTAAATTTAAACCCCTGTATTTACGTAAACCCTTTTGTAGGGAACTTATTATGAATAATATAAGGTAGATTTTCCAGAAAAGTCTTAAAAAGTGCCAAGGAAAAGATGGTAGAAATACATTAAATAAAAGAGTACGTAATATAGAGGTTTTGACTTAAATAAAATTTAATAAATAAATTTCCTCTCTACTTTGGCAACAATTCTAAAAGAATTTGTTCAACCATTTGTTGTTCTTCTTCTAATTTCCCTGTTTGTTCTCTAACCAAATTTTCGAGATTATTTGTATATTGTTCCATATTCTAATTAATTTTTAAATTATAATTAAAGATTAATTTAAATATAATACTTTTAGAAAATTATCAACTAAACTTCCAGGCCTGAAAAATTTTCGAAAAATAATTTATCTAAAAATAAAATTGAATAAATTACATTTTCAATGTTGCATCAGTTATTTTCCTTACCATATTAGCATCGGGCCTAAAAAATAAATTTAAAATATTTTAATATTTAATATCCGTTTTAATAAGATAAACAGATATTTGAATTATTTTTTGACCGAGAAACTGGAAAAGAGAAGGTCTCCTTCTCTGTTTTTTAAATTGGGTATTGTCAAGGTCACTTTTTGATCACTCAAACACTCGAATGTGAATAAAAGGAGCAGGACCATTCACTAGATATAGGCTTTGATATGGATTCATATCAGTTGATTTATTTTTCCTGGATTGTGGGCCAAGAATTATCAAGGGCTCTTTTTTATCAATCCTCTTGTAATTTCAGAACTTTACTTTCCATAAACTCAATTAAATATTTTTATTTATTTCAATACCTTTGTTCTGGTTTTCCAAAACATTTTTTCATTAAAGCAACCAAATCAGGATGTACTCTTTCATTAACAACCCCGTTAATTGTAGAATCTGTATTATCTTCATTCTTTTATTTTAAAAATTTAATTAAAAATTTTTTAAAGTAAATTACAGGAAATTCAGAAAAAATAGGTAAATGTTCTTCTGCAGCAGCACTAAAAATACAAACATCATCCTCGAGAGCTTCAAGACCATTAGATCCTTTACGATTTTTAAAAATTTTTAAAGTTAATATTCAAAATTTTTCGTTAAGTTTTATTAATAGACTAATTAATTATTTAAAATTTTTCAAAATCCTAGTAAAACTTGTAAGCCTATGAAGATTAAGGATATTTATAGACTGATTAGGGCCGGGTATGTTGATTGCCATATAAGCTAGCCGAAGTTCAATGATCATCATAGATCAAGCGGAGCATAAATTGGGGATAAGGTTGTAAGGTTGGTTGTCACACCTACCGGGATAAGGTTGTCACACCTACTTTTGATCTATAAAGATCTTTAATCTTTTGTGGCATAAACACCAATCAAGTACCAATAAAACTACCAATCAAATAATTTATTGGACATGTTTTAGTTCACATAATCTACTACTTTTATTTAATTACCATTAAATTCAACAAAACCTTCGCTATAATCCTCCGTTTCAGCAATTCTAAAAATATTTTTTTTCAATTCAAAAATAATTTAAATATTTAAATTACCTTCTTCTGTAAAGAATTTCATATAAAATAGCACCAAATGCATACCTTTTTTTAAATATTTTTTTAATATTTTTTAAATTATTTTAAATCTAACATATCATATGTTTGGCCATCCAAATTTGAAAATTCCTAGGAAAATTTGAACTTTTTTTAAAGAAGATATAGTTATCTAGTTTACCAAATCTTCCACTTTATTTCTTAAAACAGCCGCTCTAATAGCTGTACGGAATTCAGGAGCATAATAATGCAATTCTAAATTAATTTAATATTTAATTATAGGGAAGGGCATTGATAAAATTTAAATTTATAAGAGAACAAAGTTGGACGGATATTTATTAATAATTATTTCCTCATTAAGAATAGTATAAATTATTTCTTTATTATTAACATTATTAAATTATTTTAGATCCTCTATTTTACTCAAAAAATCTAAAAATATTTTTTCCAGGCCTTGTAGACTTTTCCAGGCCTTGTAGACTGGAAACCCGTGTATTTTGATAAAATCCGGTTTTTCGAGGTTTTAGCCACTATAATTTCTATATTAATTTTGAAGACAAGTTTAGATGTACTATTATTTCTCTAATTTAATCACAAAATTATTTAAATATTTTTCTTCCTCAAAATTTAAAATCCCTACCATTATTTGGAATTAATGGCTGAATAAATTGTCTATCACCATTACTAAGTGTATTATTAAAACGCCATTTGTAAAGCATTCGGGAAGTTCCAAAACCTTTGGGAAAAGAATTTCAAACATAAAATTTAAAAATATTCACCAGATAATTTCAAAATCCAATGACTATCAATTAAACACCGAGAAGAGGTTAACGCTCCATGATAGCCTATAGAAGAGCTGTGGATAAAATCCAGACCCTTAGAAATTAATTTTTTTAAATTTTTCCTTTTTAAAAATACTTTAATAATATCCCTAACAAAAGCACTTTTAAAGTTTATATCAATAGAATCATTTCTTCTAGTTCTAATTGTAACACCTTCTTCGCTAGTTAAAGAAGCAACACTAGCACCTATACCTCCTGGAGCACCTGGTGCTGCTTCCTTTGAAAAAAAATATTTTTTAAAATGGAGATTAAAATATAAACGATAAGAAATATTGGAAATTAAAAATTAAAGCAATATGCTAAACCTAGCCTTTCCAATAATTTTATTATTTCAACATTGAATGATCTAGTTTGGCAGAAGATTTGGTGTTGGATATGGCCTCTCGCGCTCCCCTGTCTCAGATTCTCCGTTCCCCAACAGCCGTCCCGACATCTCCTTTCCCTGAAAAGTTATCCCCGATGTGCCGGGGTCTAACCCAACTTCCAATATATTTTACAAAAAAAACAATTTTAAATTACAAAATAATTTTCTACATTATTAGTAGGAAAGAGTAAATCCTCCAAAGTTCCTCTAAAACAATATCTCCAAATAACCATTAATTCATTTGGTCTATCAACACAAACACCCAAAAAAGGGTTTATATTATCATGAACTATTTGCTTCATCTATTTATTTAAATTTTAATTTTTAATTAAAATTATTTTCAATTTTTACTTGAAATAATAATTGCATATCCTTTTTGTCAAAAGATAATTTTTCTTTTAAATTGTAACATTCAATAATTACAAAACTTTGTTCAAGTGTTCCAATATGTTTGCTTTGTACTGGGGGTCCTCCTCTTCCTTCTCGCATTCCAAATATTTGAATATTCTGTTTTTTAAGTTAGAAAATGATTTTTTTAGTTTGGATGAGGAATTTTTATTTAAATCAGGGCCCTTCTACTAGAGGGTTATTGAAAAAATGAGAATCATTTAATTTTAGTTTAAAATTAATTTAGTTGAGGACAAGCCCACATTCACTATGCTTTTTAATCTCACGATAAGTATGACATTTCTAAGCTCGATCATTCTCTTCTAGAGACGATCTGGGAATGTCATACATAAAAGAATCGAGATTTATATCTCAGAAAATATCGATGTCTGTAACCAAGATTCTAGTCTGAGATCTCGTCTTGATCCGGTTTCTATTTTTTTCCAAAACTGATATTAACATTTTTATTGAGAATAATATTTCCTTATTCCTTTTACCTGTTGATTTGTTTGTTCATTATTAGTTAAATCTTCGCTATTTCTTTGCTCATTTAGTTGTTGATTATTTTGAAATATTTGTTCATTATGGTTTAAACTGTGTAAAGACATACTCTAAATTTATTTTCTATATAAAAATATTTTTAAAAATAAGTTTAACTGAAGATCCTCCATATCCATTTACATCAACAAAAGAAATTAATTGTTCAGAAACATAATAAGGCATTTGGGTTGTTTCGCCTTTTTTACTGCAAAATTTAATTAAAATTTAAATAAAATTCAATTAAAAAATTAATTGGTTAATTTATTACTATAATTTATTTTTTCAAACAAACTTTTTTTTTATTTTCGGTTTTTTTATTTTATATTTTTATGACGTTTATTTGCCATGTTTTAGAATTTTTTCTGAATGTTAGTGACCTTTTTAAGGTACTTTTCAGTGAATAAATTTAAATCGAAAAATTTGGTGGAACCGACAACTAAATAGAGACCGGACCCGAGACAATATCTCGGTAGAAAATCTCGGTTATTGTGATCGAGAATTTTTCGAGATCTCAATTCTCGTACGACATTCCCAGTTCGGTCTCTATCGACAACCCTACGAGTAAATAATTTATACATAGGTTATACCAATTAATTGTTTTAAATAACAATTAATTGGTTAATTAAAAATAATTTTTCTAATTAAAAAACAATTAATTGGCCCTTTATTCTTTAAAAAATATTTAATACATACACTCTTCTGAAGCACAAAAATATAACAATTCCCAAGCTAGCAGCAGCAACAATACTTACAATAATTATTATAATGCTTAAAATTTAAAAATAAAATTAAAAAGATTTATTTTCATTCCAATAACCTTTTATTATCACAAAGTTCCCCATTAAATCCACAATTTGGAATATCTTTGGGAAAATTATCGGGCAATTTTTGATTAACGACAAATAAATTGGCTATCTTTATTTTTTAAAATAATTTTTGGAATTTCTAAAATTTTTTATTTTACCAATCCAACACAAACTCCATCTGCTGTAAGTTGAGATTTTGAACAGTCGGTAGTTATTGAAATATTTGCAATTTCATCCATATAATTTTGCTTTAAATTTAAAAAATAATTAATTTTTGATTAAAAATTAAGGTATAAAAATAAATAAATGCTGTATGTGCTCGAATAATTACCCTCTCTCAATTAATTACTCCCTTTCGATTACCTCTATCGAGAGATGCAAATAATAATTACTAAGGTTTCACCGCAAGTTCCGGTTCCGGAAAGTGTTGGCATTTTTTTGGTTCTGGTTCCGGACAAAATATCGATTTGGTCTGATAATTACCCCCCACCAAATGTCCTACTGTACATTAAAATTTCAAAACTTGAATAATTACCCTCTATCAATTAATTACCTCCTCTAGAGAGAGGATAAAAAAGGTGGTCATTAATAGGTATCCACTAATTATTCACTCAATATAATTTCCGGAAAACTTCCTCCGGAAAAATTAAAAACCAATAAAAAGTTCCCACCGTTTGGTTGTTTGAATTGTACGAAAGAACCAGAAAAAGTTTGTAGGGAGCTATTCGTTTTTGATATCCACTTAAAGTTATTGTGCCAAAAGGGCCTAAAAGAATATTTTCCAAGAAAAAGATATATTTCATCCAAAAAACCTTCCAAACTTTGCCCAACGGCATCAGCTAAAATCGTCCCATTTTGGAAGACAGAAAGATCATTTGTGCTGCTATAAGCATGCCACAAAGCTAAAGCATAAGTCCAAAAACATTCGTAAAGCTATTTTATTTAAGGGGGTTTTGTCAGAAAAAAATTATAATTTTACTTGAATTGATTGAAGTAATTTATTTCTTTGTTGAATACCAGAATCGGTACTTAGCCCCATTTGTTTAATAAATGTGTTTATTTGATCGTTTGAATAGAAATCGTTGACAAGCTTTTTTTAAATAAATAAAAAAATTTAAAAAATAGGTGAATGCTTCCAAAAAATATTTTTCGTGTAAAGACTTTCCCTCTAAACTTATTAAAAACTTTTTGAATTTTTAAGTATACATTAAAGATTTTGCCGTTCCTGTATAGGTTCCTGTATATCGAGTCATTTTTATCAGACCGGCCCGACCGAGTCTTTTCGAGCCAAAATTCAATGCCCGACTCGATCATTCGGACCAGGCCGAATCGGGCCCCAACCCTATTCCTCAAAGTAGGAATTTATTTTTTATTTTGACAATATCTCTAATACAATAAACACCTTCTGGTAAATAAATATATTTAATTACCACTAAATTATGCTGAAATAAATCAAGCATTTGTTTATTTAATTTATAATCTCCATTTGTTTTTTGCATCCAAGGTAAATCCATTTCTGTTGGCCAATAACGGGTAATACAAAGAATTGGGGAATAATCAGTCTTTAAAGAACAATTTTAATTTTTAAATTAAATTAACTGTAGATATTCCGAGAATTTGTAGAGCAGTCAAAAAGTCAACATAATCGGATAATTGATCCCCCAAGACTGCAACAATTACTGAAAAATATAGTTATTAATTGAACAATTAATTGGTAGGTGAAAAACAATTAATTGTGTTCTATTAAAAATTAATTTAATAATTATTTGGTCGATTTAAAGCCGTGTCTACTCAATTAATTACTTCTCTCTATTAATTACCCCTTAAGTAAGAGGTATAAATAATAATTACCCCTAGTAGTTATTCGAGAATTTACGTTAGTTAAATTTAAAAAATATTTTTCCTCTATTCTACCTCTAGCCTTTTGTTTAACATCCTTCAATTGAGAAGCATAAGAATTACTCGAATTGCTTCCATCTTTATTTGGAGAAAGTTGAATATGTGAAAGAATTGTTATCTTAAATAAATAATTAATTTTTTAAATTTAGATCCTGCATGTTTAAAGTTATTTTCTTTTAAAAAAATCCAAAAGAAAATTTCCAAAAAAAAACAAGCTTGATTTAATATGTATCTTAATTAAATTTCATCCTAAAAAGATAAACTTAAAAATAAACATTATTAAAAATTCTCATTTTTCCCTTAAGTGTGACCTACCAAAAAATTTTCTAAAATTAATTTAAATATTTATTATTTAAAAAGAAAATTTTTTATTCACTTTATGGTCTGTAAGAAATGATTCCATACTTGTACCAGGTTCAGCTTTATCTCCACAATCCGGACAACTAATTAAAGCTATACTTTTCCAATTAAACAAAGTTAGTGTAGACAATAAATTTACACCCAAATTGGTTATTGACATTGTTGACATCTTTTTATTTTAATTTAAAAAATTAATCGAAATTTTATTTTTCTAAATTTACTATGTCTAGTACTGACCGAGTCTTTTTAGCCAGTTAAATATAAATTTTAAAGTATCGTATTTTCTAAAATAAGGTTCCATGGAGATCTACTTCCAACAAACCTCCAAACAAGGAAGTTTATTCAGATGCATCGTGGGGCTCTATTGTAGGCGGGCGCTATTATAATACTAATGCAAGAGTTGTCAGTTCTCAATAAATTCCTCGAGTAACTGAAACTACCGAAATTTTCAGTTCAGGTTAAAACTGTCGGCCCTACTCAAACCCCAAAAAAGCACTCGATTAAAAAATCGAAATAAACAAAAATTAACCCCAAAAATCAGGCGATGTCCAAAAGGTATTTAAAGCTAATTCAATTTTCTAACGAATTTTTATTTAAAAATTTTTTATTTACTTGAATAATACTGTTAGGTGCTCTTTTAAATAAAGAATTATTTCTATTATCTTGCCAAAAATCAAATTGAAGTAAATTTTCAGTTGAAGATAATCTTCCAATTAATTCAATATCTATATATAAATTAAAATCCCTCCTTTCTTTAAATTATTTTTCTTCTTTACCATGTGAGCAAATAGGTCCAAATAAAGCACTAATATTCGAATTATAAATCATTTGTAATGCTTGAAATGAGCCCCCAATGCTTTGAACGCCTGTTGGGCATGAACCACTTGAATCGTATGATTTAACACTGAAAATATTTAAAGGGGATGTAATAACCATTTAATTGAGAAAATTCTTTTTAGTATGCTAGAGCTGTTATAAGTAATATTGCTAATAATTTTAGACTGTATATGTATGAAACTATTAGAGGTATTAGGTGTTTAATCATCGTTAGTTAGAGACTGGAGTTGATGATAGATTGGGATTAATGTTTAGGAGAACATCAATTTTAAAGAGATTTTAGAAGAAAATCTAGTCTTTTTCCTATCTCTAATACAAATTAGAATAATATTTTAATATAACATTTGAAAAGCTTGAAGAAAACAATGAGAAGTTGAGGGGCACTTATTGTAGGGCAAAGAAACTTGGCAAAATTTGCAGACGGGAAAATAATGAGGGAAGATTTTGTTTTATAATTACGTCCATTTTTGATATCAAAATTTCTAAACAAAAATAGAGAACCTAATTTGAAATATATCACGTTGTGTTAAATTAAGTGTATGTAATTGTTGATTAGCCATAGTTAAAAGTTGTTCACTAGGTAAAGTCTCAACACTAACCAAACCTACAGTAACCGAAGCTGTAGAAGAATTGGTAATTAATTGTGTAAATGATTGACTAATTGAAGTAATTAAGGTTAAAAGAAAAGGCAAAAATTTAGAGTAATGTACAGGCAATAAATATACAGGCAAAAAAACGAGAAAGGCACTGAAAAATTTTTAAAAATTTAAAATAAAGTTTTTCTTTCCACACCTTTTAGTAGAACATGTTTTGCAACAAGACGGAATTTTTTAGGCAAATAGTTTAAATAATATGTACTATGTTTTATTTGATTTTTGAATTTAGACGTATCTGTAGATTTATTTTTCTAATAATTTAAAGAAATTAGGAGAGTAAGTACGCGAATCCGAAAGTAAAACAAATAACACCTAACTTAAATTTAGATATAAGTTACATACTCAATTTAAGGTAAATTCTTAAAATTTGGATATCATTGGGTGGGAAGAACTGTCTAACTATGAAAGCAATATCTCCAACTTTTTCAACATAGTGTACGGAAACTTTAGGACTGACTTATGAAGGCGTCTGCAAGTTTCGCAGTAATAATTATATAAAATGCGTTTGGTTAATAAATTCTTAATCCCGGTTTTTAATTATATATTTTTCCTTTGCCATAAAAAACACAAATAATTGAGCAATTAAACCCCAAAGGAAAATACAACAGAACAAGTAAAAATCCTTTATAATTGCACACCTTCATAATGCATATTTTGTTGTATAGTCTCCACATCCGTATTAAATACAAATAAAATTTTTAATTTACGAGGTTACTTTTATTTTTACGTTTTTGGTGTCGTCCTTCCTCTCGCCCATTTAAATATTTATTTAAAAATTGGTTGCTAGTATCCCTAAATAATCAAAGGTATTGATTCTAAAAAATACATTATCCTCTCGGTTGGCATTAACAACGGAAGAATTGTTTTAGCTAATTGGCAGGCAGATTCATCTCACGCGGCAAAAATACATATACATTTTTTAATTATAATTTAAAGAGAAATTTAATTATAAAATAAAATTTACAATAGTTAAAAATAATAATATTTAATAAATTGGTTTAATATTAAATATATTAATATTTCTTACTATTTCAGAGCAGGTTCCCGGAGCCGAAGCTATTCGAGAACCTTATCACTATAAGACCTGCTCACTAAACTAGAAGCTAGTCGCGAACCATCCATGACGTTTAGACCTATTCGAGACCCTTATCACTATAAGACTTATCGAAGATCAGTGATGAGTATAGGGCCGCCGAAGATCAATGATCTGTATAGATTAAGGTGGGGGCTAGGTTTATTTCTATCTAGGGTCGCCGAAGATCAATGATCTGTATAGATTAAAGTGGCTATTTTCCAAATAAAATTTTAAAGAATAACCATCAAAAAACAAAATTTAACAAATATTATTTATAAACAGCAAAATAATATTTTGGATATTAGACACTTATGAAACAAAAACAGACAAAGCACCTAGCCAAACAATTAAAGGAAATAATTTTAAAAATCTAGGATCAGCTAAAATACAAAAATATATATTTATTAATTTTTGCTATGTGCTTTAAACAGAAAAGGGAATTTATAAAATATATGTACTTTTTCTAACACAAAATAATATCCTTCTTTTCTAGAACCCATAAAATCAATTTAACACTACCTGAGAAAGGCCGCCTTGTTCTTTAATTAAAAATAAATTTTTAAAAAATTATTTAAAGAAATAAAAATCTTACAAGCCTCGCCACCTCCCGTAGTTGAATGGCCACCGCTTTTACTAGTATCCTGCCTCCAAGCTGGTTTCTTTACTAAAAAATTTTTAATTATTAAAATGTTTATTTAATTTTAATTAGATATATTGAATTGGATTTTAAAAAGCTACTAAGCCAAAAAGAGAACCTAATAAACTCAAAACCAGAATGAACTAGCTAATAAATACATAAATATTTTCAAATATTTTCAGTTTCAGTCATTAAAACATTTAACAAAAATTTTTTAAACAAAAATTAGTTGCTTACCACTACTCTCTTTGTCAAGCTCCGAAAGTCTTGCTGAAGAAATGCGACTTTCAGTTTTGCTGTCACGTGGATACAAAGAACTGGCTGCCTAAATGAATAAAAATTTTGTTTTAAAATTTAAAAAGAGAAAAAATAACCGCAGCTTGACGCCTATCAGCCGAACTTCTACCTCCGTAACCAGTTCGACCAGTATTTGGTTTCCGCAAAAGCTGGACTTTATCCTGTTGCTTTTCGTGCTAAAAAAGAGAAAAAAAAGTTTAAAAAATTAATTTTATTATTACTGCAATTCGTTCCAATTCATTTACTTGTTGCTCCTTTTCCACCTCTTCCCTTACTTCATTAATTGTTTTTGGACCTTTTTCGCCTCCACGAGGCACCCAACGATTCTTTTTCAAATCTTCGAGGTCCATTATTGCAAAACGAACCTTTAATATTTTTAATTTAAAAAAAAGAAAAAATAGAGTTAATTACTCGATTGGAGACTTTAGGTTTGAGTTGACTCAAATGAGAAACAACCATATCCAAACGAAATTGTTCCTGCTAAAAATTAAGTCAAAATTTTAAATTATATACCTAATTTCTAATTTAATATAACCTGCTTTTCACCAGATATAATCTGAGCTGAAGTCTTCGGCTGTTGAAGTTGGCGCATTCCTGGGCCTTCTTGTTCTGTTCGCTTTTCATAATTTTTTCCAACTGTTTCGATCAACTCCACAGCATACCTAAAAGAATATTTTTGCAAAAAATAGGTGACAAAATAAATTACTCAATATAAACTTCATCATGTGTTGCTTCGAATCTACGCACCAATTCAACAGCACACCAATCAATAATCTAAAATAATAAACTTAAAAATTATTATTCTATATATCATTCACCGTTTCAATAAGCAATTGATGTCGATATAATTGTCCAATAAATTTTATAATTCCCAAAAGTCGACGTTTTTCTTTAGAACGACGAGTTTCGAGTTCTTCTTCGAGTAATACACGAGTCTTATCATCTGCAGTCTCTAATTTTTCTGTTAATTCTTTTACTTTATTGTCATACTCATCAGAAGCAAGAAAAGTACGTTGAGATTTTGTAATGATCTCAGCTCTAAAATTCTTCAATTAAAAATTTAAGTCAAAAATAACCTAAAATTCTTCTTCTCTTTTGGCTTTTCAGATTGATTGTCTGCCTGATCTGACTGCTTATCAGACTGTTTATCAGGTGTTTTATCACGCTGTAAATACATTTGGCGCTCGACATCAACCTAAGAAAACATGAAAATCTTATTTCCTTTCCCTTTTTCGATACCTGTTTTTTGCACAAATCAGAATAAAGAGGACAAAAATGTGGCTCTTCTACAGCTTTGTCGAAAATCAAATCAATAACTGGAGTCAAAAGTTTAGTGTCTTCAATAAATTTATAGGCACAGAATTCATCGGAAAGCTGTAATTTAAAGGAATAATTATTTAACAAAAATCTAGAATAAAACCTCTTGATAAGAAGAAGGTGTGATTTTATTGAGCAGACCACGCACTTCTTTTTTGATTTTCTAAAATATTGAACTAAAATTTTAATTAAAAACACAAACATCATGTCGAGCCTCTTCCTCGTCTTTAACAGGCGCATTCATATCAAAACGTTCTTCACGTTTTGATTTCCACGCATTAGCAGACTTTTTAGGTAAAGTATCAGTCTAAAAGTTAAAAATATGTATACGTGGAATATAAAAATCAAACTTTTTCTATTTTTGTTGGTCTCTGATCCAACGATGGACGACAAACAATTGGCCCTTTCTTTGGCTTTAATTTATTATCACTGTGACGGCCAACTAAAATTTACCAAAAAATTAATTATTTGCAAAATTGGCAAACCATAATTTGGCGGGCGAGTAGAACCGAACCGTGATCCCCCACCGAATTGATTAGTAGCTCCAAATTGAGCATTACCTCCCCCTCCTTGATGCTGCCATGAAGGCTTGAAATCACCACCAGCTGCCTCAAACCGCTTTGAAAAACAGATAAAAAATTAAAAAAAGAAATCAGTACCTTAGGTTTCGATCCAATCGATAACTGATTAACAACCATCCCTTTCTTGCTTAACCCCAACTCCTCAAGTTCCTGCTCAGATCTGGGACATTCAACAGTTTTTATTGCCTAAAAATAATTCTAAAATAGATCAAAAATTAAACAAAAACGAACACGTGCGACTTTTCGAAGAAGCATGAGGAAAGAACGGCTATAAATCATTTCATCAAGATTATGTGTGTCATCACTAAAAAATGATCCGATATAATATAGAAATGACTATTCAAGTAGAATAGGTTTTTAAAAAATAACCGAATTCCATCAAACTTTGCCATCGCCTCTTCTAATTCGTTAATTTTTTCTTCAGAAGTTTTGGCATCGTTAATTTCAGTTGGCGAAGGACTCTGTCCACCATCAACTTCCTTGAATATTATAAACATATAGGCAAATATGAAGTTAAAAACCTGTCCAGAAAAAATATCTACTATTGCTTTATTAGCATGTTTTCCATGTTCATCTGATTCAGGCAATCGAACTCTTTGTTCATCAACATAAAGTGACGGACTCGTTCGAACAAATTTAAGTTGGTCTTCTTCATTTTTAGGCGATGGATTTTTGATCTGAAAAGAGAAAACTCATCAAAAATTAGTGAATGAAAAACATTAAGCTCCAAGATAGAAGGCAAATTATGCGGTGAATGTTGATGATTTATTGGCATTGAATGCTGTTCAATAGGAATCGGAGATGAAACGCTGTTAACAGAGTTTGGAGGATGCAACAAGTATGGAAACTGTGGCGAATGCGTTGGTTCAGAGAAACCAGCTGTGTTTGCTAAAAATTATAAAATCGACAGATTAAAAAATAAAAATTATGCAAAAATATTCATATAAGACAAAGTATTATTACAAGGAACAAGAGATTAACATAAATAGAGAAAGAAAAACACGAATCAATATGTTTGGAAAACAATTTCTACTTTTCGTTATTAAAGTTTAAAGAGAGAATTATAAAACGGAAATAGCATTAATATATTTATTGTTAAATTTTACCTTGCGACCCTTTCTGAATAATTGGAATTGAACCAGTTGTATGCAAATGACGCTGCTGTTCTAACAATGCTTGGTTCATAGCCTCATTAGCCATCATACCAGCAGAAGAGGAAGGCGAACGTCGATTAGCTTGCTGTGGTGGCACAGAACCAGCATCATGAGCACGTTCTGCAATTTTTCTGAAGAAGTCAGTCTTAACGATTGTTGATTTAGTTTCCTCATCGGAGGCCGCTGATGAACCAATAGAAGTAGCTGGTCTTGTATCTATTGTTTAAAAATAATTATTTTAAAAAGACAAATAGACATACCCGGTCCCAACTTCAAAGACTCTCCACTATCTGGATTAACAATTGCCAGAATTCTTTTTGCTTTCTGAGGCTGTGTTTGTGTGGTTGGAGCATTAGCTGAGGACAAAGTTCCTCCAGCGTTTGAAACAATAACATTGCTCTGAAAATTTTTAATCTTTTTCAAATATAAAAAATGAAAAACCTGTGGCATAGAAACAGCAGTCGCAGGCATTCCAATAGAAACATTAACATTTTGTGGTTGAATACCACTTCCACTCGAAGAAATAAGCTGCTGCGTAGCATGGGTGCTAGATGGAATAACCGGTTGACTCAGAATTTGATAAGCAGGCGCCGGAGGCTGTGGCATGATTAGAGTCTAAATTAAAATAATTAAATTCTTTCTAGACCAAATACTGAAAAAAAAACCTGTTGAGTTACAGGATATCCAGCTGTATTGGTATAATATTGACCAGCAGGTGCACTAAAAATAAATATATGTATTGGGCAGGCACAAAGAATATAATGGCTTACGTATAATAATAATGGCCTCCAGATGTTGCTAATTGTTGATTAGGATACGCACTCTGCTGCATAGCAAAACCAGTTTGAGGATTATTAGCATTTTGATACATCCCATACATTGCAGCAGCCAAATCCTGCTGCTGTTGAACATTTGCAACTTGAGTCGAATCAGGAATCATAGCAGGCTGAATGCGCGTACCAGGTGGAAGGTTTATAGTTGCCCTGTTTATATATTAGAGATCGAGATTTTTAAAGCCTGTTTCTGGGTTCCGGGTTTGATTTATTGACATGGGCCGGATCCTGGGCCTGTAGTCCAGGAAAAACCCAGGCCCAGTAAAAACCCAGGAAGGTCAAAAAATGCCTGGGCCTGGACTCTGGGTACAGGAAAAACCCAGGCCTTGGTCCAGACCCAGCTCGATCTCTATTGAATATATACAAATACGAAGAATTAAAAACTAACGGTCCATCTCTATGCGCAAAACGATGCGAATTGTGAGGCACAGAATATTGCGAATGATGTTCTTGTTGTCCAATTCCACCTACGTTATGCGAATAAACGTGATGTTGCTAGATAAAGTTTGGAAAAACATTAAAATATCAAAAGACCTAAGAAAACCTGATGTTGAGAAACATCGTTACCCTGAGTCCCACCATTTGTAATTGGAGAATTCTGATGCGAATGATTTGTTGGCGGATTTGCACTGACAACGTTATTGTTCATAAGATACTTGACAAAATTTAGATTTTTTGTTTTCGTTAACTAAAAAAGAAACAAATTAGTAAATTAATTTATTTCCTATTCAATAAATGAAAACAAAAAAAAACAATTTTTTAACAAGACATTAATTAATTTGTTGTTTAAAAATTCAACAAATCTCACTCAGCTGTTTTCAAAATAAAATAGGTAAACATAAAAATTTTAAAAACAAAATTTCGAAATTTACAAAGGTAAACTGCAAAAAAAAACAAAAAAATTTTTTTAGACATTTCGCCAAGAATATTTCGTAAAACAAAAATTTTGCAAAATTCGAACATTGATAAGCTAACTGATAAGGAACGATTTACTTGTAATTTATTATTTTTAATCAGGTTGTCCTTTTAGGAATTTTAACAAAGAAAATAAAAATCATTTCTTTTTCATTTTTAGCCTGAAAAATGTCTGGCTCTCTTCGAGATCGTATTTTAACAATAAATCCTTCTATTGGAAATATTTTATACAATCCAACTGCTTATTTATTGTACAATAGAGAGATTGGAATGAGTAAAGAACGAAGAAGATTTTTAATTGGTTTAAATTTAGATTTTTAAAATTTTTCTTTAAAAAAATTTTTTTAGTTAATGTTTTTGATTTTGTTCTTTCTACACTTCTTTGGCTACTTTCTGCTGTTACTAAACCTTATAAGCATACATGGATGGAAGTATTTTTAGAAGAAATAAATATTTTTGCTCCTCATTTTCTTCACAATTCGCTTTTTGATTTGGGTAGGATTTTAGCTTTAAATTTGTTTGGATGGGGACGAGGTCTAGGCTATACAGCTAGTCAGGCTTTAGGCTATGTCTTTATTAGAGTTGTTAGCATCTGGGTAGTTTTTGCCTTTGATGGCTTAAAAAGAGAAGAACAGGAGCATTTGAGCCGCCGCAGGGAAAATAAATCAGTCACCAACAACCCTAGTTTCTACCTATTTTTGTTCAGGTTTTTTTTGTTTTGAGCCTTTATTTCTTGATTATAGGTCCAAAGTTCTGAAACAAATTTTATCTTACATTAAAATCCTGTAAATATTCTCCAATTCCTTCATTTTTCTATTCAAAACCTAGAAAATTTTCCAAAAATTACATTTTTAGCAATACTTTCATTTCTTCGTATGTTGCTTCTTTTATTTGCTTATGCTTGGATAAAATGTGATCACTGGTATATTTAATTTATTGTAAATAAAATACTTTTATGCCAGGAAGGATTCCTGTGGCGTTCACTACAACTGTTTCAACTATCTTTATTGGAATTAAAATATTCTATTTTTTCGATAAAGACAAGGGTTCAATACAACAGGTTAAGTTTTGAAATTTTTATGAAAATAAATGTTGAATTTACCTATTTTCTGATGAAATTTTCTTTTTTATTATTTATTCATTTTAGCTATAATTTTTAGAATTTTATGATTTTCGGATAATTTTTTGTGCTAAAAAATTCAGATTTTAGTTTTAAAAATTTAAATTACTAATTGTAAGAATTTACTACAAACTTTAATCTTTCAGTATTTGGTGATTATTGCCTCGCTTTGTATTGCTTGGTTCGAACTTTGGCTTATGCCCTTTAGAGTTTTGGATTCAGAACATCAAAGAGACATGTTTATATTTTTTGTTTTAAATTAAAAATAATTTTTGTAGAGGTGTAGGAACAACCGTCATTAATGGATCTGATACGGATAGACAACGTTTAAATGCTCAAGAATTAATCAGGCAAATTGTTGCTAATGAAGAGGAATTCTTTCACACTGCATTCGAAGACGACACTTCTGGTTGGTTTTGGATTTTTTTGGGAACAATTTTAAAAAGGAGGTTTTTGACAAATGAAAAAGCGATTTCTTGGTATTTTTTAGAATTTTTCCAATTAAGAGTAATATATACTTATTAAAAATCATTCAGACGAGAATGAAGAACGTTGCAAAAATATTTCACGAATTGGTAAAGTATCTAGAAGAAAATGCAAAGAAGCAATTATTCGAGCTCAGAATGAAGCAGATTTACTTTTTGTTAATATAAATTGTTGGAAAGTTTTGCAAAAAGAAAATAAAAATGTGCCCGAAGTTTGTTGATGATTTTTATATTCAGATACCGATTTTTAAAATTAATTTTTAGATTCGTTATCATGACGCTTCAAACAGTTATTATATAAAAACAGTAATAGATCACACTGCTAGAGGTTTTTTTAAAAAATTTAAATAAATTGCAAGAAAAATTTTAAAGCTGTCTTTAATGCTGTTTGGAGAGAAAGTCAAAAATGGAATAAACAAATTTTGGAGACGAGGATAGTTGCTGGTTTGGTTTTTTCTAATTTTTTACTTTCTAACTTTGATTTTCTTTTTAAGTTGTTGATAGTACAACAGATATTGTTATAACGATTACTAAAGCTTCTGGTGGTGGATATATTGCACCGAGGTATTTTTGAGAATAAAATTCATATCTAAAAATAAGTTTTTTCTGAAGTTTTCAAAAAAAATTTTTTTTTTAATTTTAAAATTCTAGGCATTTCATCGACATTCGGTAAATTTCTTTTACTCAAAATTTTAAAAGAAAATAAATTTTTCAGTCGTTTTATCACCAATACAGATGAAACTTCTTTTGTTGGGGTTTATGTGTCTATTGAATTTGCTGAGGAAGAAGGAACTGTTAGAGGAGAACAAAAAACCTCAAAAAGTGCGAAAAATGAAGGTGGAGTTGAAATTCGGTGAGGAAATTTTTAACAACAATTAATGAATTGGGAATTAAGAATTCATTTTATCTATGGGTCGGAAGAAAAATTTTCTTGGAAAAAAAACAAATGACTGAACAATCACTTGTTTAGGTATAAAATGTCTTAACAAACCAAGAAACTTCCCTTCATATTTCTAATTATCAATAATATTTCTAAAAAATTTTTAGTGGTCGTAATGGTGTAAATATGTTCAGAATTTCCAAAATGGGAGAGAAAAATGCTTTGTTTGAATGGTTAATGAATACAGATTTGCGGGTAAATTTTATTTAAATTTATTTTAAAATTTTATTTTTATTTTTTAAGATTCCAATCCCTCGAATGTTGATACGAAGGGTATAAATATTATGTATAAAATGAAAAATGTAAAAAAATATTTTTAGTCGATTACAAGCTTTGTTATGGATTATACAAAAATGCTTGTTACATTTTTAGATGAAAATCCGACAGGAATAAAATAATATTTTGAGGGAATATTTTTTTAATTTTAAAATTATTCAAAAATTAGAATGTGATATTTGGGCTTAAAAATTATTTTCTTATTACTATAACATTCCATTTAATATCTTTAATAAAATTTATTTTTACATATTTTTTATTTACTTTAAAAATATTTTTAGTCACGTTTAGGGGATCTAAAAAATATTCTTTTTTTACCGAAAAAGCTGTGTTACATATGTATCACCCGTTCTTATTAAAAACAGAATTATCACATTTATTAATTGTTTACCCAAATTATAGCTTTATTTTCCAATTATCATTTAAAAAATATTATTTTTGAAAGAAAATTTAAAAGAAAATTTTTTTGTTTTTGTTGAAAGTGAAAGGAAATGTTTTTACCAAAATTATGAAGGAAAATTTTTAAAGAATTAAAAAATTTAAATAGACTTTTTCTTTCCCCATCAAAATCATTTCCTCTTTCATTTTTCTTGTGTCCAGGCTTCAGCCAAGCTTACAGTGCTGTCTTTGTAATTAAAAGCCACACAAGCTTTATTATAAAATGCCTGTCCAAGAATCCATTGGTTTTGGTTATTTTCGGGTAATAAATTTCTTGCTAACATTGCAGGGTCTGGCCTAGAGCGAATTAACACATGACACCAATTAAATATTTTAAAGTTTTTTCCGAACATTTTTGGAGTAACTAACTGAAAAACAAATAATAATTATTTTTAGAGAAAATAATTTTTTACAGGCATAATATAATCCTTCGGTTCAAATACAAACGATTTTCCATTTTCTCCAAAAGTAAATTTAATTGTTGGAAGTTGTTCTAATTCTTGGGCACTTGGGCATTGAACCATAACGTCTTTTGGAGACTACAAAATATATAAAAAAATTTTTGAGTTTTTTAAATTTTACAAAAATATTATCTGGGACCTACCTGGAAAAATGTTAAAGAGGGCAATCGTCTCCGGTTATTGCCCAAATATAACGTTAGAATCATTCGCTATCACTCTCCCATTAATGGAGAGATCCCATTAAAAGGAATTTTTTGTTTAAGAATTTCTAGTAAACTACCTATGTATATCCCTATTACACATAAATATAATTTTCTCTTATTTATCTTAGAAGGAACCCCTCGATTTGTTTAGGTTCCTTGTTTTTAGAATTCCTCGATTTGCTCACTCCCTACAAATATTCCTTACAAATCTAAACAACATTTAACCAATTCAAAACCTACAAGTTTAGATAATTTAATTTTTCGCAAAAATTTAAAGAACCAATTGTCTTTTACTGGTTTAAGTTTATCTAAAATATCTCTTGTAAAATTCTCAGGTGCAAACATAAAAATGTCTGTTGTGGATATTAGCGCTTCTTGGTCCTTAAATGTTTCACTTGTTTCGTTTAATATTTTTTCTGCTTCCATCGAAATTTTCCTGAAAAAGAAATTTTCTTTAGAATTTTTTTAAAAATATTTCCAAACCAACGACGAGCTCCTTCCACTATATTTTGGGGCTGGCCCCATTGCACACAATTTTCACTATTTACTAAACCAAAATTCAAAACACCCTTTGTTCCACTTAATGGGTCTAATTTGCTGTAAAATAAAAAAATTTTGAGAAAATTATTTATTACAATTTTTGGCCCGGTTGTGGCAAGATTATGCTTATCCTCCTAACACAACCAAATTTTAATAAACTTGTTAACCTTTGGCTCGCTTTAACGTTTTGTTCTCCTGGGAGAAGAACAAAAAAGTTTATTATATTGAAGAGTCTATTAAATACAGGTCTCGCATTCATATTAATGGGAGTGTTGATTAATCTCTATGACTTCATCCTCTCCCACTTCATTTCAAATTAGGTCTAAAAGGTGACGTACTACAGTATAACACATAGCTGGCCATTCAATTGGGTTAATAATCGAAATAAACAGATTATGAATAATTTAGAGAAATAATTCCTTACTCAAATTTTTGCATATAAATGCTCACAACGGGCTGTTCTTGTTTTCCAGTAACCAAATATTGGGCGCCACTTTGCAATTTATAAGAATCATCAGAATAAGCTAGAGAAAATACTCCATCAGCTTTAGGTGGTTTTGGGCCACCAGAATTAAGAATTCCATCAAATTGGTTAAATTTCTCTCCATCAACCAATAAAAGTTTTGTATTATTATCTTGCTGTCCTCCAAACTTTTTAAATAAAAAAATATTATTTTAATCATATTTCTTTAATTTAAAATAATTTTCAAGCTTTTGTACTCTCAACATTTGTACAATTACTACATTTCGCCCAATTATTAGACAATATTTTTTCCAACCCTTCCGAACTTCAATAGGATATTAAATTTTCTTATAATTTTAGTTCATAAATTTAAGCAGTTTTGACTCGTGAAATTATTTATATATATTTTTTTTGACTCCAACAATAACCAAACATTCCTTATTTCAAATACTATCAGGGTTTAATTAGAGACCGGAATGGGAGTGTCGTGCAAGAATCGAAATTTTGAAACATTCTCGATAACAGAGATTTTCGATCGAGATCTGCTCTGGTTTAAATTAATTTTTTATCTTCTCTTCTGCCAGTTTTAACAAATAGATTTATTATTTTACTTGTAAACTATCTTCACAAATTCGCATATTTAATGTAGCATTATCCAAAGTTGTTTGATTAAAATCTTTGTCACATTGCAAATTTCTTTAAACAAATTTTTTCTAATTGAAAAAAAATTCTTTTTACCCCATGTTTATTATTTGCATTTTATTTTTTCTACAAGAAACCTTTCCTTTTTTAGGACAATTTGCAAGTAAAAAATTGCCAGGTTGTCCAACAATATTTAATACAGAATCGAAAATAACGGTATATTCGTTGGATCCTTTAAATTTGAATAATAATTATTAAATTTAAATGTTAACAGGGTGTTTAATTATTGAAAAAATTAATAAAGAACTAATCAAGCTTAATTTCAATTCTCTCCCTGTTTTTTAATTCAGAAATCAGAAATTTGCTTATCTTCCTAAAACAGCCCTTTAAATATCTATTAATTTTTATTTTTCCAAAAACTTCTTTTAAACCTCCTCCTTACATAATTATTTTATTTTTTTGTTTATTCCAAAAATGTTTCTTTAGAATAATTCCAAAAATGTTTTCTTAGAAACAGAAAAACATTTTTAAAAATTTTGAATTTTTTAGAAATTTTTATTTAAAAAATTTAGGCATAAATATCAGTAAATTATTTATTTATTTACCATTTTTCCCGTCTCCATAAGTAATCTTCCCGTTTAAATAGCTATTAAGCCAATTATTAACTGGAATTTGTGAAGCAGCGGGATTTTCTAATAAAGTCATACTAAAATAAAAAAAAATAAAAAATAATCTAAAAAAAATTCTTTGACCAATTTCCGTCTTGAAAACATGAAGAAATAATTCCATTAAATTCTGTTGAGAAATCAACGGAGGTAGCAAAAATTGATAAAATTGATGGGGAACCTTTAAAAATTGTTAAACTTCTATGAGGAAATTTTATTGAAATTATTTCCTTTTAAAATAACATTTCTGATAAATTAATTAAATTATTTACAAAAATAAGTTTAATTAAAAATTTATTTTTTATTTATTAAAAATTCAAAAAATCCCTCCAATTAAAATTATTTTTATTTTTAATTTAAAAAATTATTTTTGCTTACCAAAAAATAATAAAAATTTAAATATTAATTGAAGCTTCATTAAAAAATAAATTAAATAAATTATTTAAATTTTTTTATTAGAAAATTATAAAACAGGAATGGTTGATGTCAAGCAAGTTTTGAATTACTTTTTAAATGAATTTGTGGGTATATTCTCTTACAGAAAAATTTATTTTAAATTTTTTAAATTTATTTCTATAACAAAAATTTATTCTCTATTTTTTCTCTTTCTCTTTTAAAATTAATTTTGCTTCAAAAAATATTTTTGCCACATTTATTTTATATAAATTTATTTAAATTTTTTTCATTTAAGCAAATAAAAAATAATTAAATTCTCTTCCAAAAATAAAAATTTTCTTTCTAAAAATAAAATAATTTTTTAAAATTAAATACGCAATAATTTTTTTTCTAAAATAAATTTAAAAAAGCTAAACAAATATATTAAAATATACTCACCAAAAATATATGTATACTATTCAATACTCATTTTTAAAATTAAAGTTTAAGTTTAATTTTTGATCATCAACTTTCTAAAAATCTTTTTTTAATATTTTAAAGGAATAAAAAAAATCGATAAAATTAAAAAATAATTTTTTTAATTAAAGTAATTTTAAATTTTTAAAACAAAAAAATAAAATAAATATTTATTTTTGGATTAATTAAATTTGACTATTGAAAAGTAAATCATTTTATTTTTATTTTAATGTTCAGCAATTCCGTCACTGTTTTTTAATATTTTTTCACTCCTTCAGGTTTTTCAACAACTCGGAGAGAACCAGCACGACTCCACAGCTAATATTTATATGCTTTACTCTAAGAAGTTTAATATATGTAGTTTTCTAAAGACTTTCAGGTCTTTAATAAGTTTTTGCATTTAGTCCAAAATGTGAGAAAAAATTTTTTTATCTTTAAAAAAATTAATTTAACTTTTGTGTCTATTTTATTTAATCTTTAAAAGTTTTTCAAAGAAAATATTTTTTAATTTCATAATTTTTAAATCGTCATTTTGTCTGTTAAACTAGCCAAAGTTTATTCATTGATTTTTAAAGCAACATTTAAAAATAAAATAAAATTATTTGTCTAAAAAATAATTAAATTAAAAAATATTTTTAATAAATTTTAATTTTTTATTATTTATTTTTAAATTAATAATAGAAATTAATAATTGATTAATTAAGGGAAGGAGGAGGAGGAGGAGGAGGGGGGGGTGATTAAAGCATATGATTTTTTATATAAATTTTTCGGCTGTATCTGAAAGGAGTGCTCGGATCGCATTTTTCCTTACTTCCTTTGATCGCCTCGGAATGGGGTCAATTTTCCTTAGTATTTGATGTTTGTCATAAGGTTTGTCATGTTTTTCCGTCCCGTTAGTTAGCCTGACATGAAAATAAAGAATCAAAGATAACAGCACACGTCCAAAAATACCCCAAACAAAATGGACCGAGTTTTGGTAAGACCGACTTGGGCTTTCCAAGTTTGTCCGATCAAGTTTTGCCATTCACACAACAAAATAAGCAGAGAAAAAATATTTTTTACACAATTTTGCCTTATGACAAACATCAAATACTAAGTAAAATTGACCCCATTCCGAAGTAAGGAAAAATGAAAGGAAAAATGCGATCCGAGCACTCCTTTCATATACAGTCAATTTTTCTATTGTCAATTTACATATGACATTTTATTTTTATATCCCCCTCCCTCTCCTTGTCTAAATAAAAATTAAATTTTAAATTTTAATTAAAAAATGTTTTTAAATAAAATTTTTTAATATTTAATAAGTAATAAATAAATAAATAAATAAATAGAGATTAAATTTCAATTTTAATAAATTTAATTTTAATAAATTTTTTGAGAAATCTTGTCTTTCCTGAAATATTTAAATTTTAATTATTTATCCATTTAATTGTAAAAAGGAAAGAATTATTTGAAGTAATTAAAAAAATTCTGTCAAAATACATAAAATGGAAAAGAAATATACTGGCAGTTTGGGATGCTGTTTAAAAAATTTTGGAAAAAAAGCTTTAAAAATTATTTAATTTAAATTTTAGAGGCACCTTAAGTTTCAAGAAAATTTACAATTTTTTTAAATTAAAGAATAAATTTAAAAAATAATTTTTTTTTCAGAGAAAATGCCTAGTTTAAAAATTATTTTCATTGTATTTTTATTTTATTTAAAAATTCTAAAAATTTCTGGATTTATGGTTTTAGTAAAAATAGATTGGACAGGAAAAGAAGAATGTAGAAAAGGTCAAAATAATCGGTTTGAATTGGAATTAAATAAATGGGACAGAAATACAAATAAAGTTATTAAACAAACAAAATGGACAAATAATTATGATTTGGTATTATTTCATGAAGGAAAGGAGGAAGCTTTGTTAAGTGAAAAATGGAAAATTAAAGAAGACAATGTTTATCATTTATTTGTTTCTTTTAATGTCCCAGAAATTGAAGGAGAAAAAGTATTTAATTTTTTATAAGTAAATAAGCAAAAGGGGTTTATTTAAGGTGAAAAATTCCCCAAAATTCACTCACCCAAAACTGGAGGAATTCATAAAGTCTTGAGTCTAACAATCCCTGAAAAAATAAGATTTGGGTATTTGATAGTTGCTATTTTAAATTTTGAGTTTGTAGTAAAACAAATAAGAATATGTTGGGAGGATCGTAGAGTAGAGAAAAATAAATCGAATATATTCAATTAAATAATTTTGAATTCAAAATTCGACCAAGTTTTTCCTTGAAAAATTCTCTAAAATTAAAAAATTCTTTAATTTATCTAGTATTTACTTTTCGAATATTTACATATTTTCCAAAAAAATTAGTTCTAAAATAAATTTTTGTCGTTAATCAACCCATAAAAAATTCTTCGGAATATGTCGGGGCTTTGAATACAAATTTTTATTTTTTTTTAAAAATTAAAAGAAAAATTAAATTTTAAAGAGAAAATTGTTGTTTGGCAAAAGCAAACTCCAATTTCAAAAAAACGATTATACAATTATTATTTTAAAAATTAATGGGTTAAAAGTTGTTGGACGTCATGCAATTATTAATCAACAAATTCCAAATTGGTCAGAATATGCTCTTTTAATTTTACGTCCAATTAAAATTTTAAAATTTATTGCAAAACAAAAAAGAATGAAAAATATAAAAATGTTTGTTGGGTGTGGAAATGATGAGGAAAATAAATATTTATTTGAATTGGATCAAAAAACTGAAGAAGGATATTATTCTAGTAATTATTATAAAATGCAAATATGTGTTAATGATGTATATAAATTAATTTATGTTAAAGGAAAAAAGTTTGGGGTAAATTTTAAATTAATTAAAAATTTTTAAATTTGGAGATGTTTGATGGTTTTCCTCTTTCTTTTATAAATTGTCACTTTAATTGTGATATAGAATAATTCATCCTAATGTTGTTCAGTGTATGCCTATTTCCCATAACATTTTCCCATCCCAAACATTTCTCAAAACATCCTTCCGAACATTTCTCAAAGCATTCTCCCGAACATTCAAAACATTCTCCCAAACAACCCAAAACAATCCAACAAACTTTCTTTTTAACTTTAAATTTTAGATAGTCCAACTTATGTGTAATACAGCAATCCATGAAGAAGAAATGGAAAATGTTTATATTTTTGAATTTACAGGCTATTGTCACTTAGAAATTAATGAAAACAAATTAATTAGTCAGGAAAATATAAAGGAAAATATTCTGACAGAAAAACAGATTGAAATTTATAGTAATTTGATAAACATGCAAAAGGCAAAGCCTAAGGAAAAAGTTGGTGAAAGCTCAAAACAAGCTTTAATATCTTCTCAACAAACTACTAAAGAATCTACCCAACAAACTAGTCAACAACCAACTCAACATTCTCCAAAACATTCTCCCAAACATTTACCAGAACATTCTCCCAAGCATGAACCGTCTCCAAAACATTCTCCCAAACATTCTCCATCTTCCAAACATTCTCCAAAACATTTAAGTGAACAACAAGCTAGCAAAACAAACATTCCATTAAAAGAAGTTCAACAACATTCAAAACAAACTAAACAAATTGTTTCTCAAATAAACCCTACAAAATTAACTCCTCAACAAACCAAAATACCACCACACATGTCTAGATTAATTAAAGAAGTTTCTGATGTTCATAAAAAACATACACAAACATTGCAAGGAAATTTAAAAACTTCAGACAAACATGATCATTCACCCTCCTCCTCTCCCTCCACCCCAATTTACAATCCATTTAAGTATTTGCCAATGGAAAATAAAACAAAAATATTAAGTCATTTTAACAAAAGTTTAAAACCAAAAACTGAAAAAGCAAAAAATATCCAAATTAACTTTCCAATTTTGAATGAAGCAGCAATGCGAAGACGTAATGAAATAAATTTTTCTGAAAGAATGGCAAAAGAAAGAAAAATTAAATTATCTTCTTCAATTCAATTATCAGGTATAAATAAATACTTTTCTGATTTAGGTACCCTTATGAAATCCCTTGAGAATTTAATTAAAAAATAATTAAATATTTAATTAACAGAAGAAGAATTTGAAGAAAAAATGAAGGTAAAAAAGTCTGATGAAGAAGTTGGTGAAGAAGGGAGTGATGAGTCAATGGAAGAAGTTGAGGAAATAAATTTTGATGAAGAAGAGTTGGAAGAAGGTATTCTATGTGAAGGAAAGGAAAAGGAGGGAATGGAAGGTGTTGAGAAAGTGAAGGGAGAAGAGGAAGTGGAAGAGGTTGGGGAAAAAGGGAAAGAAAAGGAAGTAGAAGAAGAGAAGGAGGATGACAATGTAGAGAGGAAAAGAGGAAGGGATGGGGAGGATGAAGAAGGGAATGAAAGGAAGAAAATGAAAAACGTTGTGGAAGAAGAAGAAGAAATTGATGAATTTGCATATGGAGCATGTAGAAATGAGTCTTGGGATAATCTGAGTTTATGGGAAGATTTATTGGAAGAATATAGTGAAATTGAGAAAAATTTAAATTTACGTGAGGAAATGAAAAATGGAAATATTTATTTACCTAAAGGAAAATCTCGTTTCTTTAAAGGTTTTTTTAGATTTTTTTGGAAAAAATTTCTCTCAAAAATTAATTTTAAAAAATATATTTAAAAATTAAATTTATATAGAGCAGAATTCTGGACCTTCATCGCCAAAAGGAAATTTTTAAATTCAAGAAGCATTTTTTAAAGATTAAAAGATTACATACATTTATTTATTTTTTATTTATTTAAATTTTAAAATGAAGAGAATTTTTTGAATTAAAAATTTTTTTATCCAAATATATACTAAGCTTAATTTAAAACAAGGAAAACTTGTAACACGCCAAATTTTTTAGTTCATAAGCTATAACTTGTTTGTCACAATTTTGCTTGAATAATTATTAGCTATTGAAGCTTTTATTAAATGAAAACTTTATTTTTAAATTAATCTGTTTCCCAAAAAAAAAATCGAGCAAACAAAACATTCGGATATAGTGTAGTGTACCGGTGGTAAAAGTTCGGGACGTGACATATGTCATTCGATTCGTCTCGACGAGCTGAGTCGAACGGTACCACTCCCTATTTTAGGAAATGATTCTGGACCGAGTTATAGGTCCCTGAAAATCGAAAAACCATAGGGGGGAGTAAGCTCGATTTTGGGGTGAAAAATTCGAATATGCAAATTATACCTCATTCGAAAGAGCTCCTCGAGCTGAGTCGAATGACACCAAAATCAGCTTGATTGAACAAGTTTGAGTCGAGATATAGGGCTCGAAATGGTCAAAAACCATAGGGGGGATTTTGGGGTCAAAAATTCGATTCTACAAATGTTAGCTCATTCGAGAGAGCTCGTCGAGCTGAATCGAATGACACCAAAACCATCTTGATTGCACAAGTTTTGACAAAGTTACGATAGAAAAACTACCAACATAAACCTATGGGTCGTCGGCGAGGCGCTTGTGCAAGACCCCGCGCTTCGCGCGGGGTCTTGCGGCACGCGCCTCGCGGGGAGTCTACGGGCGCTGGGTCTGGGCTTGTAACATAAACCTATTCCTATCTCCCTTGCTCTGGACGTATTTGGGGCCTCCGTAGCAGCAAAAATCTCCACAGATGCCATAGGTAAGGAGCTAAAACAAACGGTCATAATTTTGTCAAATCAAGTCGGATTTTATTGATTTCGGTGTCATTCGACTCAGCTCGAGGAGCTCTTTCGAATGAGGTATAATTTGCATATTCGAATTTTTCACCCCAAAATCGAGCTTACTCCCCCCTTTGGTTTTTCGATATTCCGGGACCTATAACTCGGTCCAGAATTATTTCCTAAAATGGGGAGTGGTACCGTTCGACTCAGCTCGTCGAGTCGAATCGAATGACATATGTCACGTCCCGAACTTTTACCACCGGTACACTACACTACAGCCAAACATTCTTGCTTGTTTTATGCTTCAATTTATACAAATTTTGTTTTGAAAAAGAATTTTTGGCTCTTGTCCAGTTTATGCGTCCCATGAAAGTATATGCATCCCATCAACAAAAAATTGGATATTTCTTGGTGTTGCAAAGTAGGGGTATGGTTCCAAAGCATTTCTTCATGTTCGCGATCTACGACCACTAGGTCTGGGACCGTTCCCTACCCTATCCCTCGAAATTTCTGAAAGTTATAGCCAATTTTTAAAAATTTCAGAAAAACGATTTTAACTTTTAGAAATTTCGAGGTATAGGGTAAGGAACAGTCCCAGACCCAGTGGTCGTAGATCCCGAACATGAAGAAATGCTTTGGAACCATACCCATACTTTGCAACACCAAGAAATATCCAATTTTTGTTGATGGGACGCATATACTTTCATGGGACGCATAAACTGGACAAGAGCCGAATTTTTTGTTTCTTTATTTTGTCGATAAATTGTAAAATCTTGATAGATAATTTTTTAATTTTCTTAATATTATTTGATAAGGATTAATTAAAATTAGACAAGTAAAGAAAAAAATAAAGTATTGAAAAGCCCTATTAAACAATAAAATTTTAAATTAAATTAATGGAACAAAAAATATAGTGGACAGAAAACAATAGACAATAAGCTACTGAACATGTTCGAATTAATGAGAGAGTACAAACAATTGTTGTGAGTTGTTCACAACAAATGTTTATCACAACATTCTTCTCAACATATACAACAAATAATTTCTCCCAACATATTTCTGAACATTATTCCCAACATTTCTGCTTTGTGACTCTCTATACACTCCTCCACAAAATTATAGCCCCACCTATATTTTTCTCGGTTTTCATACTGTATCCGTTGTTTTTATTTCCGGACTTTTTTGTAATAATAAATAGTGGTCTAAGATTAGGTTTATAAAAAAAATTTTGTTTTCAAATCAATTTTTTCGAAAGTTATAGCAAATCTTAAATTTTAGAGTTCCACAAAATTATAGCCCCACTTTGAAATTTCAAGTTTCTAACAATAGGAAAAATCCACAAAAATTTGAGCAAGCATATCTATTGATACTAAGAAAAAATAAAAAAGAATTAGACCAATATCTCATTTCAGTGTCGAGATCCAGATACCTCAAAAATCAACGTAATTCAGGGGTAAGGCTGGTTAAAAAATATTTTCGACCCCTTATCGTTTGTTTTATAATTTCAATTTGGGCTCATTCGAAAGCCCTTGAAATTTGCTACAAGATAGGATAAGTTTTATTTTTGAGAAAAATTATCTCAGTAAGCCCCATAATAATTATTTCAGTAAGCCCCATAATGCCCCATAAAATTAGCTCTGGAAGATTATCGTCCTGCATATCTCTATTGAATATTTCTGGGATATATGGGTATTACTATCTTGTAGCAAATTTCAAGGGCTTTCGAATGAGCCCAAATTGAAATTATAAAACAAACGATAAGGGGTCGAAAATATTTTTTAACCAGCCTTACCCCTGAATTACGTTGATTTTTGAGGTATCTGGATCTCGACACTGAAATGAGATATTGGTCTAATTCTTTTTTATTTTTTCTTAGTATCAATAGATATGCTTGCTCAAATTTTTGTGGATTTTTCCTATTGTTAGAAACTTGAAATTTCAAAGTGGGGCTATAATTTTGTGGAACTCTAAAATTTAAGATTTGCTATAACTTTCGAAAAAATTGATTTGAAAACAAAATTTTTTTTATAAACCTAATCTTAGACCACTATTTATTATTACAAAAAAGTCCGAAAATAAAAACAACGGATACAGTATGAAAACCGAGAAAAATATAGGTGGGGCTATAATTTTTGGAGGAGTGTATATTTACAACACAATTCTTTCCACATAAAAATTCAATAAAAATTTTTATTGAATAATTGAACAATAATTGGGGGGATGGGGGAAGGACTTCCTCTTAATGCTTGACAAAAAATTTAAATTGATTTATATTTTTATTCAATAGACTCCTTCTCGATTATCTCCATTTAAATTTTATAAAAAAATTTTTTTTAATTTATTTTATTCACTTTTTTAAATAAAATTTATTAATTAAAATATTTTAAATTTAAAAATAAATTTATTTTTCCTTAAATCCCAATAAAGTTTAAAAGACTTATAAATAATAAATAATATTCCCCACAATTCCCCTTCCTTAAACGAAAAACCCAGTCGAATTCTTATGGGCATTTGTGCATCCGGGGATTTTATAATTAAAAAAGGAGCCGATATTTTCAGATCCGCTCCATGTTGGCTTCGAGCTCTGTGCGGAAGCTCATGAACTGATCTTCAGCCGGTTGACCTCTCGTAATTTGTGTTAAATTTTAGAAGGAAATAATAAAGAAATATTTATATTTTCTTCCAGTTTTGCTTTTGTTGATCGGTGGTTGAGTGATTTATGTAGAAGACAGGCCTCACTCCTGTTGATATTCTGTGAGGCTGTGTTCGAATCCATGATTGTGAAATGGGATTTTAAAAATAAAGTTTTTTTTCTCTCAAATTTCAATATTTTTTATAAATTGCGAATTACGATTACAAAAAAAAACCACTTGACTTAAGGCAATTATTGTTTCAACCTCTCGTTGAAGGGGGTAATTAAAAAAAGTCAGGGGGTAATTATTTGAGCTTTTTTAAAGACTAATTATAACTATTTTTAGAGGGATAATTATTTTTTGATCTCTGGCTGTAGGGGGTAATTAATAGGGCGGAGGTAATTATTTGTGAGAGGGACTTTATTTCAGCATTTACAGTATAATAGAATAGTCTGAAGAACAGATATTTTATTTAAATATTTTGTCGGTAAATGGTAATTTTGGTGAATTTCCTATATAATTTTTTAAATATAAAAATTTTAAAGTTTTAATAAATTTATTCGATAGGAAGAATTAATCGATTCTTAAAAAATAGCAATTGCCTTAAAAATTAAAAATCCATTGTTTAATAGGCCTTAAAAATTTAAATAAAAAAAATTAAATTAAATAAATTAATATTTAAATTAAATAAAAAAATCCATAAAAATTTTAATTCTCGTTTAATTAAACAATTAATTAAGAATATTTAAAAAAATTTTATTTGAATATTTTTTAAATTAAGAAATAAGTGGTCGTTAAATTGGTGAAAACTTTTAACTGAACATACATAGAAAATTCTAAAAAGTTATACAGATATCCGAACCGAAAATTTTCGAGGTTATGTATTGGAATGGCCAAGAAGCCAAAGTTCCTTCTTCCTAGTAGGAACCAAAGCTGAAGATTTTTTTAAATATGTACATATATTGAGGAGCCAAACCGATTTTTTTTTCTTTAGAGTTGGATCTAAATCGTTCACACCTATCTACATACATATATGTGTTTTATTAGGAAGAAGAAGGGTTGCCAAACTACAAAATAATTCAAAATTATCTCAGAATTCTCTATAAAATTAAATTTTTTCAGAGAAAATGCCTTCTTTAAAAATTATTTTCATTGTATTTTTATTTTATTTAAAAATTCTAAAAATTTCTGGATTTATGGTTTTAGTAAAAATAGATTGGGAAGGAAAAGAAGAATGTAGAAAAGGTCAAAATAATCGTTTTGAGTTGGAATTAAATCATAAAAATATGAAACAAAAAAAGTGGACAAATAATTATGATTTGGTATTATTTCATGAAGGAAAGGAGGAAAATTATTTTTATAAAAATTGGAAAATTGAATCGAAAAATATTTTTGAATTAAATATTTTTATTAATGTTCCCCGCATTGAAAATGAAAAGGTTTTTTATGTGTTTATTTAGGGGCTGTGTGAGAAATAAGCTTTTCCGAATAAAGCGTCTCTCTGGGACCCTTAGGTTGATTTTGGAATTTTTGATGGGAAATCCTGTCTAGAGTGTTTAAAAATTAATATTCACCAGAGGCTTAACTCAGAATCAAAGCATAACTTTTTACTTTTTAAACATTTTAATTTTATTTTTTAAAGAGAAATGTTGTCAAAAAATTTCAATTTGTTAATGAATATACAATTTTAATATTTAAAATTGTTGATTTTAAATTTGTGGGATATCGAGAAATTAGCAATAAACAAATTCCAAATTGGTCAGAATATGCTCTTTTAATTTTACGTCCAATTAAAATTTTAAAATTTATTGCAAAACAAAAAAGAATGAAAAATATAAAAATGTTTGTTGGGTGTGGAAATGATGAGGAAAATAAATATTTATTTGAATTGGATCAAAAAACTGAAGAAGGATATTATTCTAGTAATTATTATAGAATGCAAATATGTGTTAATGATGTATATAAATTAATTTATGAAATAGATGGACATCAAATGGTTAACTTAAATAAATTTTGAATTTTAATTTTTAGATTTAAGGTAACCATATTTTCTTGTGATACAGCAAAGAATGAAGGAGAAAAGGAAAACGTTTACAATTTTGAATTTGATTTGGGATCTGAAGAAGGAACTTGTTTTTTACAAACAGAGGAGAATAAATTAATTAATCAGGAAAATATTAAAGAAAATAAATTGACACAAGAACAAATTAAAATATATAAAGAATTAAGTATACAACATGAAACATCTTCAAGCACCTCTGAACCTTTTCAAATAAGTGAGAGTGAACAAACAATTGCTGTGGGTTCTTCACAACAACATTCTGCACAACATATAAAACATACTTCCCCCGAACATTCAAACATTAAAGCAATAGAAATGTTTCAACAACAACAACAAATGTTGGAACAGATATCTCATCAAATGGACATTCAAAAACATACCTCAACACCTCAAAACATTCCTCAACATCATTCAACACCTCAAAACATTCCCGAACATCCATCAACACCTCAAAACATTCCCGAACATCCAACAACACCTCAAAACATTCCCAAACATCCATCAATACCTCAAAACATTCCCCAACATCATTCAACACCTCCTCAACAAAACATTCCCCCAATTCCCTTAACTTCTCAACAAAACATTCCCCAACATCCCTTAAAACATTCCTCGGTTTCAGAAACTTCTCATACAATAAAACATCCTCAAACATCGGGACAACATTTAAATGTTGGAAAATTCAACAGATTACCAAAAGGAGAAATATTAAAAATAAATAAACATAGAGAAAATTTAAAAACAAAAGAAACCAAACCAAAAACACCCCAAACATTTTATTATTCAAATCTAAATCAATTAACATTGAAAAAACGAAAACTAACAGGAATTGAAAATAAATTAAATAAAAAAATTAAAATGTCTCCTTCATTTCAAATTAGACGTAAATTTTTAGACCTTATTTTTTGAAATTGGTTTGAAATCGGTCACTCTAAAAAATTTAGGCTGGGATTAAATAATATAATAGAGCTGTTGCTGGGTATGACTCCATAAGCTAGTTCTAACCAAAGTCGGAACTTAATTTTAAAAAATTTTAGAAGGGATTGGGGTTGGAGCCACAAAATCTTAAATATCCAGATACGTAGCCGAGGATGAAAAAGGAGTCTATCAAGAACTAGTTATCGCCCCGTTAGTTCAGTCAGTTAAGTAAGCATCTACAAGAGTGTAAGCAAGGTGAAGATTCCTGTCCGGTGGCTAAAAGATATTTTTGTGAAATTTCTAAAAATATTTTTAAATTTTTAGAAAAATTACATAAAAAATACATACAAGAAAGTAGTAAAGGAAAAGCAATAGCATTAGAATTGCCTCAAAAAAGTGAGGATTTGACCCAAAAGGGTAAAGGAATATTGATATTAGATGAAGTTGGAAAGAAAAAGAAAAAGAGGGAAGATATTTTTGGTGAAAAGGAGGAGGAAAAAAAGAAAGTTGAAGAGGATGAAAAAAAGGAAGTAAAAAGTGGTGAAGTGGAAGAGGATAAGGGTGAAGGAAGAAAGGATGATAAGGAAGTTGAAGATATAAAAGGGAAAGGGAAGGAAATAGAGGAAGGAAGAGAAGAAAAATATGAAGAGGAGGATGTTGATTCTGACGATGATGACGACGATTCTGATGAGGAAGATGATGAAAATTGCGATGAGTTTGCATCCGAAATATGCAGAAATGGAATATATGATACTGTTGATTATTGGGAAAAGTTATTAGAATATTTTAGAGAAAAAATTGAAAAAATAGTAAATTTACGTCGTGAAACTGATAAAATTTATTTACCAAAAAGTAAATCACGTTTCTCTAAAGGTTAAAAAAAATTTTTGTTTGTTAATTTTTATAATAAAAAATCTTCAGAAAACTCTTCTTCATCATCGACACAACCCTAATTTTTGATATTTAACAAAAGAAAGATTTTAAAAAGTTAAAAGATTTATTTGGGTTATTTGGGTTATTTAAAGAATTTTATTGACATTTTAGGGTGACGTACCGCGGAGCTACAACTTAGTTCAAAATGGTCGCATCCGGGACTCCTGGGTATGGTTTGATGCATCTTGACGAGCTGAATCGAACCATATCAGGGCGTCCCGGATTCGACAATTTTGAACGAAGTTATAGCTCTGCGGTACATTGGGCTCGCGGTACGTTGGCCTGCTCCCGACATTTTATTATTAAAAATTTTATTTTTGATTTATTAAGTTAAACAAATTTTTCTTTGAAATTTTTAAAAATTTTTGGTTAAAAATTTGGGTATTTTATTTAATTTTTATTTTTCAGTAAGTATAAATATTTATTTTATTAAATTTTAAAGATTCAGATTAATTACAAAACAAAAACTTTAAATTATTTTATTCTGCAAATTCCCAAAATATTTTTTTCTCGATTTTAAAATAATTATTGCATAATTCTCTTGCAAAGAAATTTAAAAGTAAAAAAATTTTTTTTATCACACGTCTAATTAAATTAATTTTTTTAAAATGGCTGAGAAGAAAAATTAAAAAGGGCAGACAGAAAAATAAAAATATTTAAATTTGTTTAGCATTTAATTATTTTTTTTAATTTTTTTAAAAGCCTGTTTAACAAATTTATTTAAAAATTATTTTATTTTCCCAGACAAAATATTTACCTATTTATTTTTGTATAACAAGTTTGTTTTTAATTTATTTAATGGGAAAGGAGGGATTTGATTTCGTAAAAAATACTTTAAAAAAGAAAAAAAAGTTTATCAAAATAAATCATTTATAGTGTAATTCCTTACTATCAAAAACAATTTTTTCTTTTCTGTTGTAAGTGAGAATTGATTTAATAAAAAAATTTTTTTATCTAAACTAGAGATTGGTCTGGATCCAGTCTCGATTTTCCTGGATTCAGAGTCCAGATCCAGGCATTTTTTGATCTCCTAGATTTTTGCTGGATCCAGATCAAGAATCCTGTCCAAGTTACTAACCTAAATCCAGAATCAAGATACATGCTTTTTGAAAATACCAATCTCTAATCTAAAACGAAAAGACGAACAACAAAAATTATTAAATGTTGTCAGAATATCAGATTTGAATTTTTTTAAATAAAGCACTACTGAGAGAGGGTATTTATCAGAGCATCTACGGTAATAACCAATAATACATCGTTCGAAAATCCTTTTTTAATTCTTGCACTTTCTTCAAAAAATATTCAGCAGTTCTCCATTTAATTTATTTTTAATATAAAAAATTATTTTTTACAAAATTGCATTTTTCTATTCAATATTAAAAATTTAATCAATTAAATTTAAAAAGCGAAAGAGAGGGGGGGGGGAATGAGGAGAGGGCTAAATAATTTTTTATTGCATCATTGCTATTGTTTAATTTTGAATTTTATTTTTTAAATTTATTTATTTATTTAAAAAAAATTTTTTATTAAATTTTTCAAGAAATTTAATTTAGTTTTTAATTAAATTAAATGTTTGTTATCAAATATGGCATTCAAGACAGGGAGTTTTTATTTTATGGAATGCTCTACTTTAATTAATTTAATTGAATAAATTTTTTTAAAAAAGCGGAGAAGGAAAGGGAAAAGAAATTTTAAATTTTAATAATAAAAATAAATTTTTAAATTAAAAAACAAATTTAAAAAATAATTTTTTTTCAGAGAAAAATGCCTTCTTTAAAAATTATTTTCATTGTATTTTTATTTTATTTAAAAATTCTAAAAATTTCTGGATTTATGGTTTTAGTAAAAATAGATTGGACAGGAAAAGAAGAATGTAGAAAAGGTCAAAATAATCGTTTTGAGTTGGAATTAAATAAATGGGACAGAAATACAAATAAAGTTGTTAAACAAACAAAATGGACAAATAATTATGATTTGGTATTATTTCATGAAGGAAAGGAGGAAAAAATAGAAACAAAAAATTCAGATTTTATATTAAATATTTTTATGAATCTTTTAGGCAATGAAAAGGTATTTAAATAAATATTCTTTTAAATAAAATTAAATTGATGGTTTTTATTATTTTAAATTATTCTGTTGGGTTTCTTATATTTTAAGTTACTAATTTGAAATAAATAAGGAATTTACTAGAGGGAAAGGTTTAGAAAGGGATTCGATCTCTGATTCCAAAATAAATATTTTTTGAAGAGAAGGGAATTAAGCAATGTAAAATAAAAGGAAAATTCATTGGAGCATTGGAGGATTTTAAACAGCATTTGATATCCGAACATTTTTCAGATGTCCCGCCAACCCTTTATGGAAAGTACACCTTAATACTGCCGTATATGCTCGAATAATTACCCTGGGTAATTATTGTTTCGACCTCTCGCTGGAGGGTGTAATTAATCGAGAGGATATCTAAATTTGGGGTATATCTCAATAAATCGAGGAGGAAATCCATTTATTTTTTGATATGTATTGATTCTTATAATGTTTCAATAATTAAAAATGACAATGATTTTTTCAATATTTTTTAAATTTGAGAAGGAAAGAGAGGGAGTAATTATTAAAGAGGGTAATTATTCGAGCATTTACGGTATTTAGATAAGTAAAATAAGAATCCCACAAAAACATCTTAATAAATTAATTTTATTTAAATAGTAATTTTATAAAAAAAAGTAATTTTTAAAATAATTAAAAAATATTTTTAAGAAAATTATTCTCCAAAATTTTTATTTTAAATCTGATTATTCAATTATAATATTTAAAATTGTCGATTTTAAATTAATGGGATGTCGAGGAATTAATAACGAAAAACTTCCAAATTGGTCAGAATATGCCCTTTTAATTTTACGTCCAATTAAAATTTTAAAATTTATTGCAAAACAAAAAAGAATGAAAAATATAAAAATGTTTGTTGGGTGTGGAAATGATGAGGAAAATAAATATTTATTTGAATTGGATCAAAAAACTGAAGAAGGATATTATTCTAGTAATTATTATAGAATGCAAATATGTGGGAATGATGAATATAAATTAATTTATGTTAAAGAAAAGGTAAAACCTGTGGAACAACCATTTAATTGTAAAACAGCAATAAATGAAGGAGAAAGGGAAAATGTTTATATTTTTGATTTTAAAACAAACAATTGTAAATTGGAAACAAAAGAGAATAAATTGATTAAACCGGAAAATATTTTAAATGTTTTGACAGATGAACAAATAAAAATATATAAAGATTTATTAAAACCTATAAAACAATTAATTCCACAAAACATTCCTATTAATGAAAATATACAAAAACATGTTGATGTTTCTATGCCTCAACAAACAATAGAAACATCGTCCAAACATACCTTCCAACATTCTAATGAAAATCCTGACAAACATTCTCTCCAACATTCTCCCAAACATTCTCCCGAACATTCGTTAAACCATCCAAACATCCCTCAATTACAACAAAAACATCAACAAATGTTAGCACAAACATCTAAACAATCCCAACAAATTGTTTCCACATTAGAGCACTCAACAAAACATACCGACCAACAAAACATTCAACAACCTTCCTTGCAACATCATTTATCTGTTCCTCAAAATTCCAATGTCTTGTTGACAGAAACAAATTTAAACGAAAAACCTGAAGAAAATGTTTTTACAGTTACAAAAGAGTCTATATTGAAGAAACGAAAATCTTATCAAAATAAAAACATAAAAAAATTAGAATTGCCTTTTAGAATTAAAACATTAAGTAAGTAAATTTTTTGGTGGAGGGGGGATCTTTATAAAAATAATTTAAATATTTTTATTTTTTAAGAAAATCGGTTTTTAAAAAAGATGAGAATAGGTAAATTAGAAAATGAAAAACAAAAAATTAAAGAAAAATGGGAAAAAGAAAAAGGTAAAGAAAAATTGGAGGAGGGGTTGTTGGAAGATGTTGAAATTAATTTTGATGAAGAAGAATTGGAAGAAGGAATTTTGGAAGATTATAAGGAGGAGAAGATTAAGGAGAAGATAAAGGGGAAAATGATAAAAATGGAAGTGGAGGAAGAGGAGGAAGATTATGATGAGGATGATGATGATGATTGGGATCTGACAAATCTTGATTATTTGGATTGTTGTGATGAGGAAGATGAGGAGGAAGAGGCAAAGGAAGATTTAAGAGTAAAAGAATTGGTAGAAAATGAAATTTGTAAAAATCCAGATAATTCTTTAGAATGGGAAGAATTGCTAAATAATTTTAAAAAACTTGAAATTAATTTAAAAAAAGAAAAAGAAAAATTAAATTTTAATTTAACAAACCAAAAATCGCGTTTTTACAAAGGTTTTTATTTGTATTTTTAAATTAAAATTTATTTTAATTATTTTTCAGAAGGGAACTAAAAGATATTTTAACAAACGATTTTGGAAATTGAACAAGAAAAATTGTAAAAGAAAAAATATTTATTTTGAAAAGAAATTATTTTTTGCTAAGGAATTTTTTAAAAATTTATTTTTGAATTACACATTACCTATATTATTTAAAAAATTTTATTTTAAAATTTTCATTTAAAAATTAGATTAAAATGGCGAAAAATATAATTTTTTTAATTAAATACCTAAATAAAAATGTTTAAGTTAACAAAAAATAGAATAGGTACATAATTATGGGATTTATTCCATCCCTGAAATATTTTGTAATTTTTTGTAGTCCTCTCTCCCATTTATTATTTTATAAATGCTTTCTTTTGCCTCATTATTTCTTTCTAAAACAGAAACTTACATTGACTTTCAACCCCTTCTGGGAAATTTTCGGATACCCTGAACCAGATCGAATCCAAATTTGGATCCCTGGAACCTAACATATGAAATTTTTTTTAATTTTTTTAATCAGTTAAAGAGTAATTACTTCCAACCCTGACATATACTCACTTTTGATTTGGCCCAGTTTGTTGACTCCCTCACCTTAAATGACATTTTTTGCTTTTTAAATTGTTATGTTAAGAATTTTTTTGTTTATTTTATCAATTTTATTATTGTCTGAAATTATCGCGCTCATGTGTAAAATTAAAAAAATTTTTGAAAAAAATATAATTTATTAAACAAATAAATACTATTTATTTTTATTTAAAAAATATCTCTAAAATAAAAATGTGTGCACTTATATATATTTATTTGTGATGTGCATTTTAGACTTTATTTTATCCCCAAAGGAATATAATATTTACAAAAAAAATAAAAAAATAAAAAATGCACATTTTGTAGTAGTTAATCGTTTTGATGATGATGATGAGTTTTTTTTGTTGGTTATTTATTTTTTTTATTTTTTTATCGTTCCAATATTTTTTATAAAAAAATTTTTTCTTAAATTTTTTATAGAAATAATTTAAAAAATTAAATAAAAATAGTATAGACAAAAAATTATATTTAATTTTTTTAATTTTTACGGGCAATTAAAGAGTAATTAATAATTACGAAACAAACTCTAATTACTCAATAATTACCTAAATATTTTTAATTAAAAGAAATAAATTTTTTTAAAGAATTCGTCAGGTTTCAATTAAAAAGCTAAAATTTTGTTAAAAGATAAAAACAAATTGTTTAGAGCATTTACCATAAAATTAGTAGCATTTAAGTTTGCCAATTTTTTTCATTAAAGTTAAAAGAGATTCGATTCTTTTTCAGACCCCAATCCTATCCAAAAATTTCCGGATACCCGGGCTTTTATTGGATTTGGACAACTAATGTTGACGGATAGGTAGTTGGAAATCCTCGGATATCCGGATTCGATATCTGAACCAAATACTTCCGGATATCCTGCCTTCTTTCGAATCTGTATATCCGGATCCGCCAACCTTACTGACAACAATAGCGATAATTATAATATCATCATTTGTTTCCTTTTAATATCTTTATTTTTCAATTTAAAATTTCCTTCCAAAAAATTATATTTAAAAAATAAAAAAATAAACAAAAATATTAAAGCTTATTTGTTTGAAATTTTTTTCTTAAAAAAATTTCTGTTTATTTTTTAGATAATTTATTTCAAGTCCTAAAGGAAAAATAAAAGAATAAAATAGAGAACATTAAAAGTGTCAAAAAAGACCAAAAAAATTCTTTTCAATAAATTTATTTTTTATATAAAAATATGGGGAGGGGGGGAATATGTGTTTTTAGTAGATAAAAATAAATAAACTAGTAACAGATTTTTATTTAAAAAAAATTTCTTTTTTAAAATTTAATAAAAATATTTTTAAAATTATTTAATGTTTTATTTTAGAATTTTTAAATTAAATAGAAATGCTATCTATTTTAGAAATTATTTTAATTATTTATTTATTTGGAGGTTTTGCTAATGATAAATGGTATCTTGATTGGGATAATAAATAATTGTAAAATAATTGCCTTTCATTTCATGTATTATATACCAGGGGCAGGGGTGGGCGCAAGGACAATCTCAAAAAACGCAAGACGCAAAACGCAACGCAAGGCCAAAATTTAACGCAAATAACGCAAAACGCAAGAACGCAAAATTGGGAAAAAAATTTTTGAAATTAAGTATTAGCCATTTTTCAGTTAAAAATTGAAGTATTACTATAAGTCAGCGAGTCCTACTCGATTTTGTGCTACTTTAATTTGGATGGGTAATGATCTGGAGAGATATCGGTGATACAAGGGATTATGAAGGATATCAGAGGATTTAGAGGTCTCAAGGGGGTTTACCGAAGTAGCGTGGGATTACAGAGATTATCATGTAATTTGGAGGGGTTAAGAAGATTTAAAAAGATACTATGGGATTGCCCCAGATGTCGAGTGAGTTGGAGAGATAGCGGAGAATAAAAAGCTATCAGTAGTTATAAAGGGCTATCAGTAGAATAAAGGGCTATCAATAAAGGGCTATCTTCTATCCCTTCAGATCAACTGATCTTTCCCTTAGTTCTACTTGATCCTACTTACTTTTTTAGCGCCGCAGGCGAAAATTTTGGGAATTTTGGTAATCCAAGCAGCCAGATTTCTTCTTTTTTAGCGCCGCAGGCGAAAATTTTCAAAATTTTGGAAGGCCAAGAAGCCAAATTTCTCCAATTTTGTCCTCAGATTGTGTATATTTTTTGCGTTAATTTCATTGTTAATTTCATCGAAATTAACGCAAAACGCAAAACGCAAAAAAAGGCCAAAATTTAACGCAAATAACGCAAAACGCAATGCGCCCACCCCTGACCAGGGGTGGGCCGGGTTGAGAAAAAAGTTGGGTCGAGTTTCGGATCGGGTTTTCGAAATTTCCTTCGGATCGAGTTTCGGGTCGAAAAAAAGTCCGGGTTTCAGGTTTCGGGTAACCCGGCCCATCCCTATTATATACCTTAGAGGTTGATATATCCCATTAATTTTTTAAAACCAAAAATCCAATTAATTGGTACAAATTTAAGATAATAATTCATTTATTTAAAGCTTTGTCAAAGCCCGTAACAATTTTGGTTTACGTGAACGTCTTCAACGTAATCCAAAAATGCCTCCTTCAGTAGATGGACAACCATTACAAGTTTTGGCAGGAATATATATTGAATCTTTGGGGAATTTTAGAGCTGCTGATATGGTCATTTTTAATTAATTAAATTAATTAAAATTCTTTAGAGTTTTGATGTTGATTTATATTTATATTTGAGTTGGAAAGATTATTCTTTAAATCATTCTTCTAATGATTATTTACTTTTAAATGATCCAAATATACGAAAATATATTTGGTTGGTTTCTAATTTAAATTAAAAAATTATTTTAAAACAATGAGTTTGATTTATCTAGCAGCATTTAAACGTTCAAATGGGAACCAACAATAAATAAGGATAAAAGGAAAGAACACATAAATCGTGATAGATTAAACATAAATATTTAGGTGAAAGCCTAACAAGCATTTCAGAAGCTCTCGGGTTCAGGTCTTTCCCGGTGGCTAAACCTTTGTTAAATTTTTAAAATTAAGGGAAGATAATAATACAAGCAATCGCAAAGGTCTTGACGAATCCTTAAAAACAAATACACGAACTTAATTAGAAATTAGCGGGAAAAATTTATTCCCCAAGACAAATAACTGACAAAAAAAGTTATTTACAATTAAGAAAATATAATTGAATTAAAGGTTACCAGATTTGTATTTTGCAAATGCTAGAATATCCCGTTTTCATGATGTTATAGCCCCCAATTTTAATTTATTTGTTGACCAAACGGGTGAAGTTGCTTATTCTACTAGGTAGTTAAAAATAAATTTTTTAATTAAAAAAATAATTTAAAAAAAAGGATTACTTTGGGGGTTGCATGCAATTTAGATTTGGTTAGTTTATTTATTTAATTTAATTTCTAATTATTGTTAGAATGGGCTAAAGACTCGAAATAAAAAATTATTTAAAAATGCCCTGAGGCAATTAATTTAAAAGGCCGGCCCTTTTATTATTTAATTATTTTCCATAATTATTTATATTAATATGATTCTACTGACTAAAAATTAAATCTTTATTAAATTTGGATTTGAAATTTAATTATTAAATCTCACAAAATCACATTCCTCTTACAAAATAATCAAAAAATATTAAAATTAATTAATTTTCTAGTCATTATATCCAATGGATAGTCAACGATGTTCTATTCAATTCTTAAGCTGTTTGTATTTTTAAAATATTTAAATATTTTTAAATTAATTTTTAAAAAAAGATGCCTATATCGAAAAACAATTAAAAGTTCGTTGGTTTATTGGAAATTCTACTCGATATAATCCAAACATTCAATTACCTGAA